TGACAAACACAGGCTAACAAAATACCTAAAGAGCTCTCCAAATCTGGCACCAACACTGTTTGCAAAAGAGTGTAAATGTAAAAAAAAATAAAAAAAAGTCAAAAACGTTTACTATGACATGAGCTGTGGATTTGAGCTGGACTTGGCTCGAGCTCTTAATGCTGGGTATGTGATAAACCTATAGTACAGTAGGTGGTTGATGAGCTCATGTGGCACACACACATTGCGCTCCTGGCTTTTCTTGCAGATTGCCTGACACTGTATATTATAGTGTCTGTAAGTAGTGCTGTTGATGTTCTTTTGACTGAAACATTAATTTTTATTCTAATTCTTTCACTGTATCACTTCTTGCACATAAAATAAATTCATCTTTTTGGCGTCGGATGAGCCTCTTTGCTGCTTTGTCAGTGTGCAAGCAGTTTGGCTATGAATGAGGACATACAGGCTTAAATATTTAATTTTAAGGCTTCTACATTGATAGGACTTCTCCTCTACTATAAAAATAAGCACTAGTAATAAAGCTTTAAATGCAAAATGTGTAAATTTAACTGTCAGCATAAAAGACTAGACATTCAACTTGCAATTTGCATATGAAGCATTGCAACTTTATTTCCCCTGAAGAACATAAGACTTGACTTCAGTTCTGCACTGACAGATTTTGAGATTTTACTTAGACTAATCTCAAATCACCAGGGACTCATCTTGGAATTGCTTCCAAAGACTGCTAAACAGCTGTACCAACTCTGCCAGAGGCCAGTGTAAAACTAAATACTAGAAGACAGGTCAGAATCCAACAGGTGCACAGCTGAAGAAATGTTTTTCAAGATAAGTAATGTGAGTAAACATAATGAACATATAGAAGACAATACGCTATGAATGACATTATGAAATGTTGTTATGGAATTTATGAATGACATCTTCTTCTTTAATTTTTTTGTTTTTTTAGCATTAAATGGCTATGTCCAAAGGTTAAAAAAAAAAATTAAATGTAAAAAATCCACTTGTCAGCACTTCTAATGCTCAATATAAAATTGTCTTAATGTTGTATCTTCTCTGTTTAATCCAAACACACACTAAAAAAAAGTACACTAGTTTTACGGGCCTTTAGGTTTTGGACCATTAACAAGGACTTTCTGAAATCACTGCCCCCTAAAACTTTAACTGTTCATCTAACTCTTGCCAAAAAAACAAATGAACATACTTCCCAAATTACCGAACTACTCATTTAAAATCAACCAGATAAAGAAAAAGAGTGATGACCTCTCACCTAAGTGTGAAATTCTCCAGGGTAGATGTACTAGCCAGGAAAACGTAGAATGTTCCCACATCTGTGGTCTTCAGGGGCTTGGAAGAGGTCTGGATTACAAAAGCGTTTCCCAGCCTCAGCCGAATGAAGGTGGGGTTCCCTGGGGGAGTTCTGAGCAGACTTACACTTCCAATCCGCCTCATCGGTGTCCCTGATTCTCCAGAGTCTCTCCCCATTCCCACACCTACTCGTTGCAGGCTATCCTGTGGGCTGCACTGACCTGTCTGGTCCCTCTGACTCTGGAAGTAGACCTCCACCTGGTTCCCCTGAAGGCCCTTAATTCCTTCTGTTTTCGCTGCTTCTCTGGTAGAGCTTCCTGATCGGCTGGTCGAGCTGAACCAAATGGGCTCAAGCTTCAGCTGCGCCACACAGAATCCACCAGGAAACACCAGGCATGCCCCACGCACTTCCCTCGTCTCCCAGAAGGCATAAGCTGTCACACAGTGAGCTCCATCCTTTGCCTTGGTTCCTGCGCTGTTCCTCGCATTATCCTCTCCAGACCTCATCATTTCTTTCCCAGCAATGATGTCGCTTTCTGTGGGCATATGGAAAAGGATCTTCGCAACAGGGGATGAGGAGCGGATCTGGCGGACCAAAATGACTGGCAGGATCCTGCGGCCACTGAGGAGCAGGTCTGGGGGAACTGGGGCATCTACAGTAAGGGGGCCATATGAAGCATTAACAGCTGGCTGGAGGAGCCCAGTGCCTGGACCAGTGATGAGAAAAGTCTGAGCCTGAGCCCTGAGGCTGGAGTTCCCTGGTGGCTCTGGACTGTTCTGCCTCAGAAACACATGGTCCACATTGAGGACCTGAAAGTTGATGGGGGGATAAACTGGAGATGGTGTGGAGGACATCCCAGTGTCACCGGCAACATTTTGGCCATCGGTAACTGGTGGGAGAAAATTTACAGACATTAGAGCAATAACTACTCTTCTACTGCTACTTAGGATTTCAGTGTTAGGTTTCAAATCTGCTATTAAGAAACACGCACATGCCACATACAAAATCAGTCAGTTACTGTAATTACGAATATTTGAATTGGATGACAGGACACTGAAAGGTTGACAAAGAGATTGAAGCTGGGGAAACAAAACTAAGGGTGGAGGACCGGGGGACACGAGGGATCAAAAAGCTACTAAGGACAAGGTGGTAATCTCAAAGAAGCACAAGTGGTGAGACTACAGGCAATGTCTTGTTGATGTATCATATCTGGCTTGTTCCCTTATGTGTTCCTGCACTGAAAAAGAGGAAAACAAAGGAAAACAGACAAGCTGCTTGTGGCAGATGAATGTGGAAATGAGACAAACAGGTGAGAGGGTAACCCTTTAATTTACAGACCGTTAACTATGTAATAATATGAAAAAGTTATTTATGAACAACCACAAATTACTAATGTAAAGAAATTGCTAGGAAATAGTCGGGAAAATGATGCAATAAGTATTTGTTGTTTATTAAAGCAATTCTGTTATATTTCATTGTTGTAATAACAGATATGTGGCCGGGGGGGTACTGTATTAATCTAGGGATAGCCACCTGATTCATTGTTTACCAACAAGAAATGGCAGCAAACACTAGAATTTCATTGGTTATCTCTTGTGTGAATCATATGGAAGCTTGCATCATAATGAGATAAACTGTGCATATTTTCACTGTAAATACTATCCAGTGACTTGTATGAAATTTGTAAATATTTTCCAAATATTACATAATGACAAGGCAAGTACTATGATATATGGCTGTAGTTTCCTTTCTACTGCCTGTAGAGTGTAGTGTGCACTCATACTTTGAAATATACTGGCAATTTATGAATGATAAAGTACAAGATGACATGTAATAACAATGTAACTACCTACAATACTTGTCTATCACCGGAACACCAGCTTTATATTGAGCAACACCAGCAAGGGCCTGCTACCTGTGGCAACATACCTGTTGTTATAACAATAAATTATAACAAAATTATTCTGCTTTAAGTTGATGTTGTACTTCACAGTAATTTATGGTCATTCATAAACAACAACAGCTCAATGTGTCATTTTTCCTAGTTATTCCCTAGGAATTTCTTCATATTACTACATGGTTAATTGACTGACTGTAAATTTAAGGCTTACCAATGAGAGAGGTGTTGGGCACATCTAAACAGTCTGGAGCAACAAGCTGAAATTGAGGTTGAGGTCACTGTAATCCTGTTTCTGAAAGCTGTGCTGGGTGTTGGATTCAAGGATACTTTTGAACATCATATTCCTGTGAAAAATAAATCTACCTGTACCATAAATTTTAGGCCCATCCTAACTGCTGTGTAATGACAAACAAATCTTTTTATGCTCAGCCCATTTTTGCTCAACTGCCTTTCAAGTGACTGGCTATTCCTGTGTATTGCAGTGACAGAGACTACTCACATTTCCCTTGGCGGGCCAGTGCATTTTGAGTCTAGAGATGTTACACACTGTAGCTGTAATTTTGGAAAAAAAGACACTCTACAGTGTAATTTCTATTATGTACACGGTAACTAGGTGGTAACAGTTATGGTAAACCTACGGGTCACTGAAAAAATGCTCAGCCAGATGAAACTATGCCACATGGTTGTTACTGTAAAATAACTCTGTTAGAAAAAAATGATACCTTTATAATCAATTTGAGGACTGTACTATTATTGCCACTGGTGTGTACAAAGGGTCTCATTGATACTTGTCCTTCAATGTTTTTCACTCTCCATGTACCACTTTTATGCAGTGCATTCATGGCGAAGGCAAATGCAGCCTCTGAATGGTCCAGTAAAAAGCCTCTCTCATAACTTCCATGGGAAGACTGTTTGTCCCAACAGGATGCTACATGTGACAGCTCCAACTTCCGCCTGCCAAAGACGCTTGGCAATTTTCCATCCTCCATGTTAAAGTGCTCCAAATTTAATGTGTGAAGTTGACTTTCCCACAAAAATAATTTAGGAAGACATAAGGGAAAGAAGAACTTGCTTTCCCTCAAAAAATCTTAGAAGTAATTATCAATCTTTTCTGGTTTTAAAACTATATTTCATAAATAAATCTGTTATTTATATCAATTTCCTTCCTAAGGGAATGAAAAAACTAAAAAAAAAAAAAACTGATATCAGTTGATATTTAAACTCTAATCAGAAAAGTACACATAAAGCTATCTTATTCAGTCCACTGCTGTAAGAGGTTTCACATTTCTCTCTGATTTAAGGCAAACCAAAGTGAAATTAAACATAATGCAAATGTGATTCAACCGTACAAAATTGTATGTCCTACTGCATTTGTGATCACTGTTGTTACTGATGTTTGGCAGTTTGTGCTCTCTCGTTCAAATGTATTTTACCTGAATGAGCATGAGGGGGACATCTGAATACATTTGGTTTTTACTGAAATGTTTGACATTTGTTGTGTATAATTTCGTTTGCTCATATTTAATAGACTGGCCTGTGCTTTCTCAAGGTTGCAAATCCATCTTGCCGCAATATATCCTCCTATAATTTCATTTGCTTTCACATGGTTATACAGTGTAGGTGAAAGCAATTAATGGGACAAAGAGAAACACAAAGAAGAAGAAATCCTCAGAGAGCTTTAAACAGACAGACTCAAACCGTGTCAGACTGTCTGATGAAGGACGGAGTTGATAATGAGAAAGTGATCATAGGTAATGCTGTGCGAGAGAGATGTTGATGTACACTACGTGAACATACTGTATTATTTATTGATCATAATTTGATGAGTCCTGGCTAGAATCCCTGAAACACTGTATCTTAACTTGTGACAGCAAGATAATAAACTATCTCAAATATTTAAACTACTGTAAATGTTAGTTCAACCTCAGACAGATTCACTGACACAACAGGCAGCACATCTAGACTGAAAAATAAGGCCGTGCACATTTCCATGCATGATACACATATCAAAGGCTGAACTTTATCACTTGGACCCACAGTAAAAACACAGCTGCACAAATGAGTCCTGTACTAGCAGAAATTAAAGTTCCACGTGTCTACAATGAAAAATGCACACATAGACATTATGTGCAAATATAGAAACCTAGGCAATTGCAGAAAGTAGTCTTTCACGGGCTATTGTTATGACAGGGAGACAGACCTTTTACTGTGACTTCATAGCTTCCAATGCAGGTTATCTTCATATAACTAGAAAAACAGCTGTGCAACCTGCAGGTTCAGGCTTCTTTAATCCCACAGATGAAGCACCTCGATGCACAATGGAGAGCATGCTGTCACTTTCATTTAGACAGAGGGACGATGAAATGGACAGAAAGCAAGGTAGTAACCATAAAACCCTCAGTAATGGGAAAACACAACCCTATAGTACAACACATCACGCAGCTAAATGGTTCCATGATCTCAATAGAGACATTTTCTGAAGTGATTATATTTTGTAAGATTCATTAATGTACACAAATTAATAGTCTTTTAAGTTGCCAACCTAAACTTTGTGTTAATAATAGCCTTAAAAAAGCAACCTGCTGCACTGTCTTATGCATACAGTATATGAACTCATGCCACAACAAATAACTTCAATAAAGAGAGACAAAGCAAATGTAGCGTATCCAGTTTGTATGTGTGTGTGTTTAGATCATCACAGTATATGAAAAAGCATATACAGTGTTAACCTTTCTTGTAAACACAGCCTTTGAGCAATATCCACCCCAGTTATTTTCACATATATAAAGGTGTCCAGCTGCTCTGCTCAAACACATATGAGGCGATTCAAATCAATCAATAAATAAAAGCAGAAAGTGTTAAGCGCTCACCCAAAGCAGTCATAGATCTCACCTTTAACAGCTGTAAGAACAGCCATTGCGACAATGTGGAACAACGTGCGTGGGGGAAAGTTGAGCATCTTTTCAGCAAAGTTGCACAATCTAGCCAGCCACTCTGCTCTGCGCTCCAGTGCGCGCCGAGGGAAGCTTTGGGGACCGTGTGCCCTCGGTTGAAGCGCTAGAAGCCAATCATTACACTGTCTAGTCCGGTAAAGTTACTTCCTCTGACTGTAGGGGACCAAGTGGAAAGAAAATGTTGGATCACTTCCTTATCCACATAAAGCGTCTACCTAAATCTGGAAGTCTCTTTCTATTTAGGTTTTTCTAAAAGATGAGAGAAACGTTTTCCTTCCTCTAGCTGGCACGGTAGGACAGCAACAAGCACGCCAATTCCCATGATAGAAATCAGTGAACATGGACAGTCTGTCAGATTAATGAGACCCACGTGGGTAATCGCCGGTAGGGGAAGAGCTGCTAGCAAATTAAATGCACACGAGGTCAAGAGGATCAGTGGTTTCATTTGAAATTTGATTTAACAAATAACAGCTATGCTTCTGTGCCAAAGGGTGATTTTACATGCAGGGAAACATTACGATTGTTACTGTTAGACTTTGCCTTGTAGGTAAAGTGGTTATCGTTGAGAACAATATTAGATATTATTATTATTATTTTTACTGTATTTAAAGTTCAAAGGAATTCACACATTATAGTCAGAAGGCCTTTGTTTAAATCATAACCAGTACTGAAGGGAAAAGGTGCAGTTTAGTGGTTTTGCCTGCTGTCAGCTGCATATTCTCCATCCACAGCATCACATGGGGTCATACTTAGTGCATCTGACTGAGCAGATGGATGCAGGCAATATAACTAAAGCCTTGTGGCATCACAGAACATTATACATTTGGCAACACTCATGCAAACTCCACTTTATGACCGACCCCCCCTCCCCCCACAAACTACATAATTTAGAGTTGTTTATTGACAACTTGAGACTGTGTCCCCACAGTGTTTATAGATTTGAGGCTAGTCTGCCCAGAATCAAATCAAATAATCTAGAAATGTATTTTTGACTGTGCTACTGGAGGCCTTCTGGCCACATTTAATTTTCTTAACACTCTGGGTAATTATTTATTTTCTCTTATGTGTATCCCTTCATCTGCCTTGTCCTAAAATTCCATGAACTCATTAGAATGAGGTGCACTGAAGATCAGTGTGAGTTCAAAGCCTGAAGTGAAATACTGTAGCATGGTATCCTGTTGCAATGTGGCCTAGAAACAGGTTGACCATAATATGAGCAGTTATGTCTCTTAGAGCGAGCCGGGGTATGATGCTTTGTCATCTGCCTGCTCTGATTCTGCACAGAGACATTAGTGCTGACATCAGATTTACAGTAAAGAAACCTAGTGGATTTAATGAGCTTGGTAAGAGCTCTGTTCACTCTGCAACACCCCCCTAAATACCTGTCATCTGAAACAAATGTGCTTTACTGACAGAATATGTTTGCCAACTAAATTCACTATGTCCAGTGCCTCAGTGCTTGTTTTATTGCAAAGTGGCAGCAGTGCCAGGGTGACAGCATTAAGTATGCAGGCATCACTGGCGAATAAACATTTTCCCTGTTGACACCAGAGGCAGATTAAAATAAATATGTGCCTTAGAGAGACATTTAGGGATCTCTGAAGGGCAGTAAAAGTTTGAAGAAATAAACGGAGTTTGAATTATCTCATGAGAATAACTTGATTCTACTGTACACATTACTGTAGTGTTTACAGTGAGGGGTTACGCGCCTTGCATTTTAAAATCTATGAGCTTTAATTTGAACAGTTTGTCCCTGTTGTTGCCTGGATGTGATTATTAAAGCTGCCAGTGGCAAAGGCCATCGACTATTGAGTCTGGGAACGTCTCCAAATCTGTGTTGTTGTTCCAGACATGCAACCTGCTGATGCTATTACAGATGATGGAGGGGTAGTCGGATGCACCATGTGTGACTCCAATACAGGATATGAAGCTGCTGCCAGGTGGTGCCAAAGCTTTTTGGAGGTCGTTTGATGTGGAACAACATGAGTCAAGGCAGATCTATTGAAACAAATAAATAGCAGGAGAAATATAACTCACTGAGTACTGGTCACAGCTCAAGCTTAGTCAGGATTTTAGGAAATAAACATCTTTTAGCCCCACTTGTCATGACAGTAATGTGTGATGATGGGAGTTTGTGCCACTTTGATCCAAACTTAATTATCTCAAAAACTACTGGATGGATTTCTATAAACCTTTGTGCAAACATTCTTGGTCTTCAGAGGATGAATCCCAATAACTTCCATGATCCTTAGTGAGGGATTACAACTGAAGTAAGTTTATCTAATACACTGGTTTGAAATATATATTCAGTTAGTTTCTTTTCTTGTTTTCAGTGTTTACTTTGTCATATATGTGTCCTTAATGTCGCTGATTGTTCACTGCTGTACTTGCATTTCCAAAATGGCACTGATTTACTCGATAGACCCTACTATTTCATATCAAAACACAATAGCAAAAATAAGTACAATCTGCACACTATTTTCTTACTCCCCACTGTCGAAGAGGATATTGAATGCGCGTACCTCCTCGCATTAAAAATCAAAACATGATAACACAGATGATTCGAGCTGGAAGCGGAAAGTACAAAAGTATTATATAGCAAATGAAAGTGGCCAAGTAAACAAAATGTTCTTTTCAGGGATAAATGAGAGATTCTGAAAACAATAAACATTGTAATGCTGTACAGAGGAAAAGGATCTTCAAACAGCCAATGTATAATAAACACCAGCACAAAACTGACATTAAAAATACAAATGACATAATAAGCACATAATGTATATGTACTGATAATTATTGTGGATGAACAAACCGGGGCAGGTTATGTCAAAGGTCACCTAAAGAACTGCTCACCTGGATGCTGACATCCAGATGAACCACGACGTGCCTGTGACTCCTCAGTACAGACTAGGATCATTGTAAGATTAATTTTTACCAACATTAATCCAGCTCAGTCATGGATATTGAACTACAGCAATTTTCTATCTTAATATTTCCTTAATATGTGTTATTACGCACCACCAGCCAAAGGGTGATCAAATTAACGTTCATCAATCCATCAAACTAGGGTCTGATCAACCCAGCTCAGTTTTTTTTTTTTTTGACTGAAACTACAGATGAGTGACAAATTGCAAGAAAACCCAACATATCAATAAGATAGTATCTCAGTAAGATGCTGGGCCACCATGTGCCACCAGAACAGTTTCACTGCACCTTCACATTGATTCTAAAAGTATCTGAACTGCAGGGATGAACACCATTCTTCCCAAAGATATTCCCTCATTTGGTGTTTTGATGATGGTGGTGGAGAGGGTCCATTCAATGTCCCAAGGATGGGGGTATTGTCAGTGTGAAAGATTATTTAGTTTTTTTCTTTAATTTGTCACCTGTCAGTACAGTACATCCAACTAGAAGGGGATCGCATGAATACAATGGACAATAATAACAGAAAAAATGGATCCAGGACACCCAAGACAAATTGGAGATGATGCACATTCTCTACTCTGAACATAAACTTACAGTATGGTTACACATGTGTAATAACACTTAGCACTACAGCCAGCCAGGAGGCAGCCAGCCAGAAAGGCAGCCAGTCTTTTTCAACACTTGTGGTGCTGCAGCTCCAAGGGCTCTTCAGCCAAGTCGTGCCCTGTGGACATCTCCCATTCCAAGTATTTTCAGCAGAAGATGAATCACCAAGGAAAGGCCTATGTCCTGGCTGCATCCCTTCACTGACGTCAGCCAACATTCTTTAGCTGAAGACAAATGAATGCTCTTCTCTCAGTGTAGCTGCCATAAACATCAGTTCTCCACCCCTGCAGGATGCTTTCAATGAATTACTTCCCAGGTGGTATATCCTCCCACTAACAATGTGCCTTCAGTACCGAGATGGACAGGTAGCAGCCTTGCCTCCAACAATCTTGCTGGGAAATACATTAATGTTGGAGGGGATGGATGGACACACAGGTGAACTATTCAGTGTGATTAGTTTGTTTTGTTGTCTTTGAGAATTTCTCTCACTTAACCTGAAAAAGGAATTATGTAAAACGTACTGCACACAACTCTATGCCATATCATCAAGTCATATTTTATTGGCATGTTTCTAGTGATTATACAATATAACAGGCACAATATGTCTGATAATTGACATTTTAAGCATGCAAAGAAATTTGTTTTATTGAATGTATGCACAACTGCCCTGGGGTCCATGATGCTCAGGGGGCCTAAAGGCTGCAGGTTTCCTGTGTGACATCTGCTTTCATTTGAATAATTGTAAATTTGTTTGGTAACTGTGTATGCAAAACATAAGCACAATTTTAAATAACATGAAAAACTCTGTAAGGCAGATCCCACCTAAACAGATCCCCCTGTCTCTACAGTCTATGTCTAGATTGTAACACTGTCTTTAGTTCAGGTGTTATATAAAAAGACATGATTGTGAAAATCCACATGTGCCTGTATGATAATTTATTATATGGCAAATGTGTTTCCTATGTGAAATATATGAAAATTGCACATGCCTTCATCATCACTATCATGTTAAATGTCTGTAAACCACATGTACTTATGTAAACATGTGAAATGATGTTCCACATGTAATGAACATGTCAAATGTATTTTAGGTGCAAAATATTCACATGCTTTTTTGGTACCTACATAATTAACTTGTGTTGGTATTTTAGGATTTCTGATTTCTTCCTGTTTGGCGTTGCCCTCAAGGAATGTAATGAGATGAAATATTTAGGCCACTACAGACGATAAGGACATTTACAGTGTTGAAAATTATAAGCTAACATGTTGGCTTGCAGATGTAAGTTGTTCTCAGTGAGCATGAAGGTTTCTCTACTGAAAGCTTTTTTTAGCCCCATGTATACTGGCCCCAAAGAACAGAGACTTCAAAAGAAATGTCCAGTTCACCACATGATGAAAGGTCTCTTGGTATATCGAAGTCTAATTAAAATATTTTCCTTTCTGAAACTGAGGGACAGGAGGATCAAGATGTTTAGTGTTTAACTGGCACACCGAGGGTTTGTGAAGTCTTCAGAAAAGGCCAGCAGAAGATGGATTTAGCATTATGCCCCCCTCTGGTGGTGTGACAGGCAGGATGAAAGCGAGTGATGGAGAAGTTACTGGCAAGAATTTTAAACATGTATTGGCCCTCGGGGACTCCACAGACTTAGAGCTCAATATAGATTTGTTGGATAGCAATGGAAAATAAGGACAAGACTGAACAGAAGAGAAGTAGGTGGATGGGAAGGAAAATGGGAATGAAGGTAAGGGAGGGAGGGTAGAGGAAGAACAGGAAAACAGGAGAGTATAGGGCAAATATGCAACAAATTTGCAACAAAGCAAAGATTAATTGATTTACAAATTCAGTCTATTTTCTTTCTTACCTCACTGAGAACACATTAGGTGTTTCAGCATAAGCCTCCTAATAGACTACAGCATTTGATCACTGTGCTCCACCATCTTTGAGGTTCTTTTCCTATTTGTATCAAAGTTAAATTTGAGCAAAAGGCAAAAGCAAATCTGCATGTGGAGGAGGATGTAAGAAGGAGCAGAATGAGGGAGCTAAAGGACTTTATTTTTTTATCAAGTTCAGTCCTATGGTGTTTTTGTGATGTAAAATTTGTGTCTGTGTGCTAACTGTGAGAGCAACACAATTCACACAATTATAAACCTCACAGAGACCTATTGGGTTGTCACTGCATTTGAGACTTCCCTCATTACTAATCTACAGTCATCGCGCACCTTTGCTGGCCAACTGAAAACCACTGCTGCCCTCCTGAGGATTGTGATGAAACAACATGAAAACAGCGACAGGTCTGACAGTTGTGACTGTTAATGAGAAAAGATTGCCGAAAATGATATGACATAAATATTAAGATGTCTGGGCTGATGTTTTGATTGCTATCCATTGTATGCATTTTTATTTTTGAAGAACAATTCACCCACAATAAGAGGAAAGAGAAAACAAGTAATATACTCACAAAAAATTAATAAAAATGTTACCTTCATTTATGGACATAGTAGGAAAATTAGAAAAATTAAGTCTATATTTGCCCTAACACCTGGCCTGAGAGTAATGCGCACATTACCTGGTTTTCTTACATCTAGATATACATCTACTGTTGCAATGAGAGCTGTTCGTTAATTTATCTGAGGAGTAAAATTCAACAGAAATACAACACAAGATGAGGGATACCCCCCATACTAACAAATTCAGAATGTTATTGATCTTATTGAAAGTACGACCTTAGACATATTGCATGTTCTAGTGGTTACTGTAGATTAATAGCATGTTACATGTCCTTACAGAAAACAGAGAATGTTAAAATGTGAAACAAAGTCACTTTGACTTATTTGTTGTACCTCAACAAGGGCAACATTTTCAGGGTCCTGCCAATTAGAAAGATCATGAATTCAACAACTTGGCCCATCTGTTAAACTTCACATTTCATTTATCAATGCTGTAGTTTTGTTCTAGTTGTTGTACTAAAACTACATATCAACAGTTCTTTATTGGATGGAAATCTAATTTTGTCTGTCATTGAGCTGGTTTTGAAAATTCAAGTGCGCTGGTGTTAACTCAGCATTGTCACCATCTTTTCAGTTTTTTGATAAAGACAGATGAAGACAGGTGTAAATGAGAGGCAGGATATAATTTGTTGTGATGATCTGGGCTGAATGAGAACTTAGAAAACCGCTAAAAGTAATATTAAAGATAGATAAAAATGTATTTCACTTGGTAGTGACATAAACATTATATCAATCTACATATAATGTCATCAAATTTGAATTTGTCATGTAATGATCACAACTGTGTCCAAAAATATTTTTCAGATCATTCTGTTACTGTCATTCTTTATTGGGTGAGAGGCATCACAGAGAATTTTCTAAAGCTGATTTATGGATTTTCTGTCCAATTTGTTGTAACTGATTACAACCTGGGCTCATGATTAAATCTAACAAAGAGAGCAACCTACTGAATGGAGCACGGTGTGTTGTAAAATTTGCCAGAGTAAAGCTTCTTTTTTGGGACAAGCTGTTAGAGCAAAGTGTTACTGAGTGCACTATGTGCTGTCAGTGTTAGCAGAGCCACAAAGAACCCAATGGATATTTGAATGCGCCCATTAGGACACCGCTTCCATTTACAAGCTTTCTGCTTGTAAGAGCCAGAACTGTTTATTAAGTCTCTCTGTTAATCCATTTGAGAAGGATGTTGCACTGCAGATGGCTGTAAGCAGGTTTATTTTTTTTTTTTGGTGCACCCATAAAAATAAGCCACGATAGTTATAGTGTCTGATATTGATCCAGAAACACAAAGCCAGGCTGCATAAGGAGAGAAGATGCATTTACATTCCTATGGCTACTCTGCTACATGTCTATGCTCCTATACAAATTGAAATACCTTTTTAGAAAAAATCAAGCCGATTAATTTGTGAGTGTATGATAATGAAAGATAACCTAAGTCCAAGATAGCCATCAGTCAAATCCATCAGAGCAGGATATGAAAATGTAGACAGTTTTCTCACTTTACTCTAACACACTTCAGATAATCGTTACTAATTAATTATATAGTCTTAAAACATGATCAGGATAACGTGATACCGTGTTGATTTGTATGAGGAATTGAGCAATAATCTCCATTTGCTTTTAGCAGACTTTAAGCTACATATGAACACTGATACAATGAGACATAAATGACAGCTGAAGACCACTGAAGGAGGCTCTGTTTTTGGGTATGTATAGTGAACAAATGAAACAACGAGTTTCTAAAAAATATCAAATTTAATTTGGCTATAAAAGTTTTCCTTTTCACATGCACACCCAGACATAATTAATCACCATAAATACTGTTCAGTTATTTCTCTTCTTCTTCTTTTTCTTCTTCTTTTTTTACTTTTTAAACTTCTTGTTTTACATTGTTTCACAAAGCAAGCACATATGGTGGACTGATACATCTGATTTCAAAGGACACTATGGAGAATGCTTACAGTCTTTTACTGGGAGAGGAATTAAAAAGAAGGCATAAAATCAAGTAGAAACATTTATAAATTACCTACAAATGGATCAAGTACAAAAGAGCTACAGCATTTAGAGACACTACACCCATTCACAAATGAATCATTTGGTATTGGAACACTATATAATTTCAGCTTTATGACCACTTGAATAAGAAACTAAAGAGCCTTGGAACCAAAAGGACCAATGTAAATCTATTGCCATTCCAACTATTCTTACAATCCATTTTGGCAATGCTGTCTCCTCACTGCATTTCACCAGTAAGATTAATAAATAATAAGGAGGGGAACCCTGTTTCACACAATAAACTTTTATCTCACGCATCCTCCAAGTGCAACTTGACCAATGAGACAGCTGGAGAGTAATAGGAATAGAAAGAACTTTTAAAACTAGCAAGATACTTTTTAAATTATTAAAGCTATGAGCCTTATGATACATCCAGTTAATAATTGATTTCCTGCACACTTTAAGTCACCACAGAACTAAAACTGTTGGCGGAGTGTGCGGGCACTTCCTCTTAGTAATTCAAGTTAATATTTGAAACATTGTTCCTATAATCTTGCATGATTAGAATGCACAATCACAATCACAGCTTCCTCAGAAGCTAAGAAAGAGGCCAGGGAGTGGTGTACTGACTATTGAATAAATAGGTTTGAACTATATGAAAGATTAGCATTGCATGTCTCTTCATTAACTTTTAAATTAAAAACATTGTCAGTCAGAAAAAAAATGAAAAATATGACCAAGAAAAGAAATTGTATGCATCAGAAGATTTCATGGACTTACGGGGGAGAAAAGATTTCAGGGCATTCATGCATAATTTAACTGTCAAAGCAGTAGGTTTTCCAAAATATCTGCCTGTCAAAGCCATCAAACATAAAAAATACTAAATAAATAAATAAATAACTTCAGCGGCTGAATTTGAATCATAACTGTAGCAGAAAATGTAGAGGTTTCAAATTCATGCTGCTTGTAAGAATGTAAATAAAGCTTATGAATGAAATTTAAATACAAAATAAATTTTAAAAAAGACATACAAGCAGTCTAAAAGCAAATTACATTTGGAAAAATTCAGAATGAAATGCTGAAATTGGGTTTTATTTGTATTGTTATATTTTCTCCCTAGATGCAGCCTCATCTGACTTTTTTTTTTTTATTTTTGAGCTTTTACTCTGACACGGAATGGAAAACAGATTTCACAGATAGTCAGTGTAACAACCTGCAGGATATTATACAGTTGCTGCTGATCTGATCACATTTTCTGCTGCAAATCTTTTTGTGGCATTATGCAAATGAGTTTGTCTGTTTCTGACAACTCTATTAAATATCTAAACATTCAGTGTGTCAACAAACTAAATGGAGCAACAACAGAATATTGGCCTTACTAGTCAGACTGATCTCTACAGGTTTCAAGTACATCTGCTTATTTCATAAAGTGTTACATTATCAAGATCATAGGAATAAGGTAAAATCTGTTTTGCACCCTTTTACATGTGGATAAGCTGTGTAACGTGATAACTTTGTATTGTGTCGCCTTTATGTGCTGTAATACTGTATGTAGAGCATGAGTGTAACCAGATACAAAATGTGTATTCTAGCTAAATAAGTTTCTATCCATCAGTCTTAGATAGATGCAACAGGGAACAGAGAACACATGTCTTGTCATTGTTATTTGGAGCTTCTATGAGGCGTCACTGTTGGGCCTCTATCAGTGTGAAACAACAAAATTAAACCATGCGCAGGCAATGGAGGTAGCAGCATGACACTAGATCACAGGACCAATAGCTACATGGCCTCTCCTTCAGCAAAAAACAGAAGTGAACAAGAAACATGAAAGATGTAAAACATGAATGCATCGCATTCTGCCTTACATACTGTACACACACACAGGCACGTAAAACCTTCACCAGTCGTCAGACAAAACACCCATATTTGTGCAATAGGAAGACAGACACAAAATTTTGTCTTGAACTAGGCGTTTCATGACAGTGTGACAGTGAGAATAACAAACATCTCTGCTCTTATTTAATCCTCAACCGTGACTAAGCACAAGTGACCCGTCATATAAAACAGAAACCTGGTGAAAATCAGCATTGTTATCAAATGAGGAATGTCAAGCTCACATTGTTTTCATAAAGGCCACTGAGACGTTTCTGACGTTAATGCCCTGTTGCCAATCTGCTATTCCTTTTGAATTCATTTCCCCCTAGAAAACTCTAAGCCACAAATACAAGTGGAAATGTATCCTGTCTTTCCACATACACAACCACCTCTCTATGATATTGCACTGAATAAAGCCTTTGTGTTAGCAGCCAGCATTACTTCGCAGAATGCCTCAATAACAGTGTAGTCTACTTCGGATTTTCTTGGAAGAGTTTGATGTCTGTTTCCTTGTGGTGACATCAATACTCCAGAAAAATGGATGTTTTTCTGAGAAAAACCTGTAGGAAACTAATATGTAAGATGCATTGTTGTTAATGCTACCCTGCTGGAAATAAATGTAAAAGTTCTTGGACTAATCAAAAATAAGAGAGAAAATACATGTCATGAAAATCCTAGTTTTTTTTTTGTTTTTGTTTTTTTTTTGTAATATCATCCATTGATTGAAAATAGATCACAGTAATACATTTTTGTGTCTGCAGGCGATCTCACTCTTGATTTTGGCACTGCACTGTACTGTACATAATTTAGTTGATTTGTATGCATCAACAAATAGGATTAACTGTTTAACTGGTTATATTCAGATAACCTCACACAGTCCAGGAGACAAAACTGATATCCTCTCTGTCACTGTGTTGTTGGATCAGAGTTGATTGTATGGATGCAATATACAGAGCCCAACATGTGCACATATTGTACATGTATGTGTTTGTGTTTTGTTTCTATTTCACAGGAGAGAGTCTTTTCAACAGTTTCTTCCCCTTGGAAAGTAGTCCTTTCTTCTTCTTGTTAGCTAGGTCTTGAGGGTCTTGGGAGTCCAGCGGGGTGTGGGTGCCCCTTGTAGGACTGAGGGGTCTCATGGTGCCAGGCAGGAGGGGACGAACAATCGGAGACGGTGCTCTGACAGGTGTGGCGTCGTTGTCGGCTGTGTCAGTGGTTTCAGTGGAAATCTGAGGAGAGAGGCGATGGGAAGGTGTGGAGGCACAGGGCAGTGTATTATAAATGAAGCAACACTTTGACACCACAGACTATATGTCTGTGTTCTTAATCTTAAAAAATACTGGAGCTTTCGATGTAAAAGGCAGTGTGGTAAAACTTCTGAAAAAGCACTGCTTGCTCTGGACTTTGGACTTTGTGTACTGTATATAGAACAACTACACATAAGTCCCGACTTACTAAATGTCACTGGACTGAGGTCTGAACACTTAGTGATGAAATTACACACTGAGAGTCTATAATAGAAAGTGTTGCAAAATGTGTATATTGCTTTTGTAGTATATGCATTTCAAATTAACTATTTGTAAACCCCTCCAGCAAGGAAATTCTGTTGTTAATCCTGTTTGTTAGTTAGCAGTCAGTTGTTTTAATAAAGAAATTTCAGTAAAGATTGGTGCAAGATTGGATCAAGTGACAACTTTGGGGAATCTAAGACACACTGTCAATTAATTCTGATCAAACTACACAAGCACAGTCCTAATGTATCAGATAAGTTGGTTTTTTTATGTTAAATACTGTAGCTTATTTATTCATGATTATTTAAAGTTGCAGAAAAATACTTAATTCTGTATTTGAACCCAAAGCTTTGGGAACACATGCATCACAAGGTTGTTAATGTGCAATTCAGCAGATCCATATACTGTATATATATTTTTTTTTTTTTAAGTTCAAACTTAGAAGAAAAAGGGTTGTGCAGCCTTGGCAACAGTGCAATTCCAAGATGTGTTTCAGAATCAAATTAATTAGTGAAATTAAATTTTGTATCATCAATGACATACTAAATCACAAAGCAAATCTGTAGAATTTTCAGCTTGAGGACCACTTTTAGGCATGAACTATAACAATTTGGGGTCCACTGTGTATCCTTAAATAAGCCCACTTTTAGGAAGTGTAATATTAAGCCTAGTGAATATAACTTAATATCTTCTACATACTGTGCTAAATGGCTCAAAGCTATCATCTGTCTGCCTGTTGGTCTGTATTAAATTGACAGTAGATACTGTATATGGTATGTTGTCACTCACACACACACACAGACAGAGTACATTAATAAAGGAAACACAGAAGAGGAAGCCATCAAATGTTGAGCACAACATCAGCACACCACAGAACTGGAGATGTCCGCCATCAGTAGGCAATGCGAGAACATACAGTAGGATCACATACAGTACAACAACCAGGGACACAACTGTAGATACCAGGCTTCTCATCTAATGCAGCAGCTGGATACACAGCTGGATACACCCTTTCATCGGGATCACAGTTGATATCGTGACGTCTGAGTCTAAAATACTCACACTCTGGTCCAAATTGTCAGTGCTGTATTGTAACTATAATAACAAAATGGATACTTTTTAGTACTGTCAGGCAATTACTACAGAAATATATATTGAAAAAACATTCATATTAATATGTTTATATTTGATGCTGTACCTTACATTTTGTAACATCATAATCAGGGAAATGACTTTTTGATCAGCTGTTACCATGAAACAAAGCATTACAGAAACACTTGAGAAGTGCTTCCATACCCATTCCTTGGCTGTGACCACAAGCTGTGTGCATTAGTGCCTCAAGTTTGGTATCTCAAGTTGCCGACTTAATGTACTGTACAAGGCAGAAAGAGCATTTATGGTGTGAAATGAACAATCGTCTTCTGTTTGTTTGTTTTGTTTTGCCAAGCGGGTGAGGAAAAGCAAAAAAGAAATCAGACGTGGCAGCATTGTCACTGTTTGTAAAACCCACACCACTATGAAAACAGAAAACACCACCACCACAACCAACACACATGAACACAGAGCGCAAAAAAAGAATGCTTTTAATATCCAATTTTTTTCTTTTATTTTTCCATTGTAACAATACAGTGTGGATGTCTCAGTGCTGCGGTTAGTTTTGGCTCTCAAGCTCAGAGTAAACATGACATATCCGCTGTCAACAGGGCTGAAAAATAGATTTTGATGTGTGTGCAATATACATAAAGAAACAAAGCCTCTTGAGGAAACACAGCAGTCGAGCCAAGAAAGTTATTATAAAATGTATCAAGTTTGAAAAAGGCATGCCTTTCTCTTTTTCATATCTTTAAAGTTTTCTTCTCAATTTCTTTCAGTGTCACTGGGTAGCAATTGCTATGTGTTAATAAAGCACTTATTATAATTATACACAATAACTACAATTTATTTTCATGTTTGAGTGCAAAGAGGTACCAAATTATCTCATGTCAGGAATGAGTTGAGCCTTTTTCAAGTCCTCCTTAACCAGTGCTACATGCATAAATCACCCGCAGAGCTCCCACAGTCTATCCTGTCTCTGTCCACGTCAGGCTTTGCTTCTTCCTTTCTCTGAGTCTCAGAAAGGTGTTAACACTGGATTTTTGTCCCCCTTTCCAAAGGTGAGAGGGGTGGAGGGAGAGGGGTGTTAGTTTGTATAGAGTCACCACTGTCACCACATGGACAAACACACACAATGAACAGCACACAGACGGTAAGTGGAGGAAGCAAGAGACGGAAATCAAGAGAGAGGACGGAGGATGGATGAACACAGGGCCTAGCGCTGAGAGCGGCGATGGCGATGTACCCGTTTGCCCTCTGAGACGGTGGTGGCAGAGTTGGCAGGGGGCCGGCTGGCGGGCTCTTCCTGGGGGTAGTGGGATGGAGTATCGGTCAGATACACCTCCACATCATCAGGCACTTCTTCCAGGAAGTTAGAGGGAACCAGACCACGATGGCCATTGATCTCTCCCTGTGGATGGGGAGAGGAGGGGAGAAGAAACACTTCTGTCAGAGCCACAAGTGAGTGCACATGGTGGTTTTCATACAATATACACAATCTGAACTGTTTTGCATATTTTTATGTTTTCTTGACAACACTATTTCATGAATACCTTAAGAGAAAACCTTCAATTTTGGGACAAAGGTCCACATGGACTCAAGGATGAGCCAACTAGATTTTGGTGGTCAAATGTCAAGGTGAATGACCTTTCATCTGTGCCATTCCTATGATTTTGATTGGATGCATACAGCCACAAAGCAGTAATTCTAGTTTTATATGTTTCAGAATCATTATTAGATTGATGCAGCTTTGTTTAAGTTTGACACCAGCCACCTTTTCTGTAATAAATAAATGGGAACTCTATAGTTAACATATTGCCTCGCAGCCAGGGGTGTCCCTGGCTCCATTCACACTGCACGTCTATCACAACTTGTCATCTTTACAGTTTGGTATTTGTACAGATTAAACTAACAGATTACAAAGGAGAATATGGACAAGCAGCACTCACATAATAGAACCCATCTTCATCGATATCTCCACATACAGCAATGATGTCACCAGCACAGAAGGTCAGCTCAGCCTAACAGAAGACAGATGTACAGAAAAGAGTATGCAAGAGATGTGATCCAAGGAAAGTCCATTATGTCTTACTCAGTCTGTCATGCTTTTACTCAGAATATACCATGCACAAAAATGAAATGTGACTACATTATTTTTATAGTCATATATACTATATGAATTCATATTTTCATAGCCTGGCTGCTGTTTTGATGTTTTTACTGTAATGTCTTGTCTGTTTTTTATAAAGATCATTATTTTATTTAGATTACACTAGTTTGAGAAACATTTCAAAAACATTCATATAGCACCTATCATACAGATTTTAGCATCTTTAAAAGATGGGAGAAAAATGTATAGTGGTTAACAGTTTATGTGCGGTTGTCCTTTGGTAAACGTTCAGCAGTTTATGTATGGCAGTTAGTGATACCTCAACATCAACATTAGGGGAGCTCTCTCGAGGGTCGTAGTCATATAAAGCCACCATCCTCCTCGAGGCCTGATCTCGACGAAGTCCTCTCCTGTTCTGCTCTGCAGGTGATAATAGATGCCATTGTAACAGGAAACATTTAATCTCATGGCTTCATTTACAGTATTTTCAAACCAAATTGATCTGAAGCAGTTTTCATAACTGTGTTCAAATGCACAGATCTGTACTTGTTTATGGGAGTGAGTATACCAGTGTAATACCTATTCTGTCCACTGGGGTGCTGAGTGGCAGAAAGCCCTGTTTGATGAGCTGGTCCATGATCTCCTCGTCCTCTGCTCGGATCTCTGACACCATATTACAGGGGATCAGTCCCATCCTGCCCCTCACTTCTCCTCTGTAAAACCCATCTGTATCTTTATCTCCATACACCTGGTAGACAAGATATTGAAAGAGCCATGTTTAGAGCTCCAGCTTTAAAGCATATGCGAGTAGAGGACTGCAGTACTGCTGTACCAGTGATTTACATTTTTTTCATTTTATCACATCGTTTTATTTTACAGCAGCTACACATGCACATGAACTTTTTGTCCCAAACTAATACAGTTCCCAACCCCATTTTAAAGTTCAATTTTAGAAGAATTCATACAAAATATCCATTTTACATATTTTTATAATTATGATGCACCACTGACCCAAATTTGACAGCTGCAACAAAATGTTTTCACCTCAACTGTAAAAGCTTGAAGAATGAATTCAACATTTAAATTTGCAGCTTGGTTGGCAGAAAAGTAGCCAATTATGATACATGTTAGCATTGTAGTGTATGTTCATGGCCAAAACATGGCAAACAACTACTACCTCATAGTCTAGATTCATCTTTAAGGCAAATAAATGCAAAGAAGACTGAGTTTGACTGTAGCACGTATCAAGTATCTGGCCATCTTAACTTTGAGCTCCCACCCTAATGATCTGCCCCTCTTTGAAAGGCAGCTCCTCATCAGCTGCATCTGGGTTCGGGGACATGGATAGTGGATCATAGTCAAAGAGGGCCACAAAGATCCGGAAGGACTCCTCAGGCTCTGACTCATCATAGTACGTAGGAGAGCGGCGATCCCGATCCCTGTATCCATCTTAAAAACATGAAAGACAAACAAACAAAAAAATCATCCTGCATTACTAGACAAACAAAAAAGGTAATCCAACACACAAAACAGTCACTTTATAGGAGACTGTTTCTTGATAGAAATGTTTATTATTTGCAAACTTTTTTTTATTATTGTCTCCTGTGAAATGAGTCTGTGTTTGTGTTGTTTGGTCACAACTGGAGAAGATTTTGGGGTAACAAAACTTGGAAATTTGTATTACCAGATGTAGAAGTTGTAGGTCTCTATGTTTCCATATCAATGTATCTTAGCTGTTCAATCAAAAGACACCAATGAGATAGTGATATTGTCTTACTACTGTAGGTGTTACTGATTCAATCATGCAGTACTGCGTGATCGCATAAGCTTTTATTTTTTTGGCTAGCTGTATTTGTGCAAGTCACCATGCATGAAGAAATTTAATTACTTTAAATCATTTACTGTAGCACACAAACAAACACTCATACACATGTTTACATTTCTCTCTCTCTTTCTATGTTTGTATATACAGTGAGAGACAAATGAAGAGCAAGACAAACCATGGTGCAATACACAGATGTGATGTGGGACCATGTCAGAAACAAGCAACTGACACGCATGCTACACAAAGCCTAAAAAAAAAAAAAATGCAACTAAAGATAAAGGTACAACTCAACATGTATATTGAATACAACATTTAGTAAAATTCTAAAATGCAAAGCAGAAATCAATAACTTTTCACACACTGCCAACCCCGATAGCATCAAGAGGTCTTAAGCAGAAATGGGCATTTGTTGTGGAAGCCTATTGAAACTGAGATTGCAATATTTGCACTAGCTAGCAAAATGTGATACTGTTGGGCCAATGAAAACAAGCATGATGTGAAATGGATCGCTCCCAGGTGAGCATAAAAATGTTTAGTATGTGTAATATGGTTTTATGTGGTGGCAGGAGAGAAATGTAAGAGACACTTGCATTTCCAACAGCTGATATTTGAAACTCAAACTCCCAAAGAAAAACTTCTAAAGAAATGAAAACCAGTGACAGGGTGGGCATTCTTTAATGCTTATCTCTATCATCTCTTCAAAATGTCATGCATGAATCGCTCCTATTATAGGTGTAGCAGGTGTGGTTGTACCACACAGGGAAGGGGTTTAGCAGGCATCTGGAGGTCAGTGCAGTGAGTGAGCCATTCTTTGAGCAGTCAATCATTTATCATCTGCAACTGTGGAAAAGTTCATCCCAGACCCCAGGTATGGCTTGGCAGTGGGCCCACCATTTCAGTGCAGTCATGCTGTTCAACTGGAAGCATAATAACTATTATTATTTCAGACAGAAGAAAGAGGCACTTGCAAGTGTCCACAGCTACTGCTTGCCATTTGCTGCTGGCATTTTTGTTGCCATGCTGTGGTGGTAAAAACAGGACTGCTGGCACATACCATGGGGAGACCTGGTGCTGCCCATGTGCTTGCGGGATGGCCACATCCAATGCCGAGCTACTTTGCCATAGTAAACATCCTTGGTGATGGGGGAGAGGTTTCCCTCACTGTTATTCTCAGAGGTTACCTCTACAGGAAACATCAGTTAGAGGGTGATGGGTTCACAACGTAAAGCACAACTTTCCCCTTACAAGGGCTTAACTTAAAACTTGCAAGGTAATAGCAAATACACACAGAAAAGTAGGTATGATAAATACTGTAGTAAAACTGTTGTAGATTCTTTATCAATGTCAGAGTAGTACTCATTGAAGTGTAGTACCCCGTGGGCAGCAGTTTAAGAAAACTGTTCATTTGTAGTATTATAATAATCTATGCAAGATCTTACTTATGGGCATGACGGTACAAGCATGATACATAGACACAGAGGTGATCTGGAGACACAGAGAAGCTCATGAAGGTTTTAACAGAGCCTCAAATACTCCCTTTCTTTCTCTCTAGCCACCTGCCCATACTGACCAATGGAAGGGACCATTAGAGGTCGTCTCTGTTGATGAATTCTTCTTCCAGTCTCCCGGTCATGATGGCCTCCAGTAGGAGTGTTCGTCTGAAATGCACATAAACACGGATAATATTCACAGATATTAAACATTCATGAGTTGCTCGCAGAAACATGGACATACTTGCAAATATTATGTGAAAAAAAACCAACCCACATCGACATACTTGTACAAATTGTATGTAAACAAAATCATGCAGCACTCACAGGCAGGCACGCTGACACACAGACACAAAGACACATACAACCCCACGAGAAAATTTAACATTCCAGATTTTACCAAATGACCACATACTACGCAGTTAAAACTTGCAACTACAAAAAACAAACAAAATAAAGATATCAGTCAGCTTGCTTACACTCATAGTGCTAAACTGTTTAAATCCAGTTTCTCCCAGGTGTTGGAAATACGCTGGGCCTGAGTGTACCCAGTTTATCTCACTCTGTCTCTCTTTGTGGTGAGGAAATATTAGATCGAGTTTGTGTTTCTTAAAATGGTACTTTAAGATACTAGTTGTTCACGCCCAGACAATTTTTTTTCTCATCATGGTGCTGAAATATTAAAGGTGCTTTCAGACACTAAGTGGATTCCTCTGCAGATCCAGGCTACCTCCAATCATTCTAACAGCCTGTGCAATACAACACAGGCTGTTATCCACCTCATATAATAACTAAAGAGAGAAGGTTGAGAGTTAACAAATAGGCACTTAGCAATGTGACAAAACAGCACATTTTGTTAATCATAAACTCTGGTCCTGACATGATAATCAAACTTTAAAGCTGTTACTTCAGTATCGTTTCTCTTCACTGATATGGTTGCTTGCTGCCGATAAAGTGTACGATTCAGGAAACTCAAATAAAGCTACCAGTAAAATAAGCTTCTGTATCGTCTCCCTTCATGCCGTTTCTGTGGTTGTCATGGCCACATGTCGAGCCATGGTGGCAAGTAGAAGAATCTGAACCATCATCAGCTCATAGCCGTGTGGCTTCATGAGCGCAGCAGCCGTCTTGAGAGCACCTTACAACCCAGTCTCACTTTGTTTCTCTCTATGGCACTGAAATGTTTAAAGCCAGTTTTTTTCCACTGAAACAGTAAAAATGACCGTCTCTGCCTATCTATCCTTCGGGCTGAAACATTCACACCCATTTCTTTTCTCTATTTCTCCTTTTAAATAAATTTGAATTAAACTCAGCACACATACTAATCACACATCAGATGTAAGTTAAGGCAGCAGACTCAGTTGAAGTTTGTGCCTGTGCAGTTCACTAAAGAATAATAAATTTGGGTGATTATTACTCTTGGGCTTAGAATAAGCGCAAAGAACTGCACCTTGGGTGTGTTGTGCGAGTTGCGCCGGCGTCCTTCTTCCAGCTGCATCTCAGAGTACAGCTCCTCCTCATCCTCTTCCATGATGTCAGACAGGTCAGAGCCACGGCTGCTTTCGCTGTGATAATCTTCATTGTGACTATAGTGAGGCTTTTGGTAGTCACACACAAACACATAGACGCAATTGTTTAAGTCCGCATACATACATACATACATACATACATACATGCACACACCAGTCACACATGGATAGGCAAATACACACATGTGAACTGACACAGGAGTGTAAGCATGCAACCAACCAGAAATGCATGCACACATCCAAATGCACATGAAGAGGTTTTCCACTGAAAAGCACAATGGGGGCTGAAGCTCAAAAGAAGGAAAAAGTTGAGTCAGTTATATTGTTCTTACCAGCCTCCCCAGCTCAGAGCCTCTGAGGAACTCATCAACTGAAGGTCCTCTCCGGCGGCCACGCACAAACCCTTCCTCATCTTCCTCTTCCTCATCAGAATGATGCTGGTGAAATGAATGGCCCTGCTCTCCATACCTGCCCTGCTTCCGGTCCCCCTGAAAATATGAGAAAATTTAGGACACCGAGGCAAGTGACAGTGGCACTTGGTTATTTAGTTTTATAATATTCTGATAAGCTGATTTTTACATTTTACTAGTTTGATAACATAATCTGCTCTGTCTTTATGATCTAATACATTTAGGGTCATAGAAAGCAAAATATTCTGTTATACACAATCAGTATATGGCTGCAGACCCTTAATTTACTGCCCCTCATTTAGAGTCACATTTTACTGACATGATACAAGTTTTTCTTTTTTCACTGTATCTTATTCATCAAGCACAAGGCATGTATAATATAGTGTTATTGGATTTGGCATTTCATGTTCCATCAGACCTTGCCACTTTCTGCTGCCACCCTCTGCGCTGCTTCTCGGGCAATGGCTTTGGCCACAGTGTCTGGGATAATCGTGCCTCGGGGCTGCGGAAGAATCCTCTGGGGGGAGGGGGAGCGCAGATTGGTAGGAGGAGGGGCCTCAAGGGTGTGGCCTTGCATGGACACAGGAGGCTGGGAAGAGGGAGAGCGTGTAGGGTCCCAACCAGGCTGGCCAAGTGGAACAGCTCCCCCATGGTGGACTGTGTGCTCTTTGGCATCCAGGTCTCTGGCACTTACTGGTCTCTGAGGTATAGGGTGGGACTGGTGGTGGGGTAGCAGAGGCAGTTGGTGCTGAGGCCTGGGACCTTGGTGGAGTGGGTGAGGCTGAAGATGCAGGGGCTGGGTCTGCGGATGTGAGGGACGAAACTGAGGTTGAGGGGGCTCTCCTGCGTGGGGAAGCCTGGGGTGGGGTTGAGGGTGTGGAGGATGGGGTGGGAGTGGTTGTCCATGTGCCTGGGGTGGAGCAGGAAGTTGGGGAAAGGCATGAGGAAGGTGAGGAGACTGAAGGTGGGGTTGAGCATGGGGGTGTGGAGACGGCCCAGCGTGGGGATGCATTGGCAGTGGCAGAGGAAGTGGAAGGAGAGGCACGAGCAGATTGTTTGGAATGAGGGCAACTTGGGAGTCCTGGGATTCCCCCTGTACTGACAGCGTCCTGACGATGACTTCTCTGGCTTCCAAGCACTGAATCCTTGTCAGGTCAACAGTAACATAGTCTGCCATTGGATACAACACTTCAGCTATCTGGATTTAAACAAAAAAGATCAAATGTTATCAAAGTTAGCTGCATAATCATTTGACTACAACTGAAACAATGGGAGTATCATAATCATCACATTTGAAGTGAAAACATGATCACAGGATAAATCTAGCTTGGATCAGAATTATAATGATCCCATGTTCTTTCCTCTTATACAGCCCTTTGCCTCAGACCTCAAAATAATAAGACTAAGGTAGAAAAATGGCTAGTATCCTCTTTTTTTCTGAACAAAACCACCTCACATTACTTTTCTCAAGGTCGATTTACATTTTCAAGTACAGTACAGTGTGTTGATTTACTTTGGCAGTCACCAGAGGGAGTGAAAGACCTTACAAAGATATTCACAGGTCCCATGCTGAGATTTGTACTGATACTGAATCACAAGTAGGTGGCACTACTGTGTCCACTGAGGGAACTGATGACATAAGGCCACACTCAGAGGCTATTACCACCCCATCTGTGATGTACATATGTTCTCATGTTTCAACTGAATTCAACATCATTAAACAATTTACACTGTGTTTTACATACCGATTCTTTGTACTGCATGTAGGTAGATCTGTAGGTCTTTGGAATAAGGATCTGACATACTTGTGAATTCTCCATAAACTTGTCCCTCTATACTATGTACAGTATGGCACAACATCGCTTATTTTGCCTCTAATCATGAGCGATGCCTTTAACCCAGAAGAACCCCTTATCTCCCTTCACCACATTTTAACAGAGTGAGCTAAAATAAGGATATAGTCCCAGTTGGTAATACCAGCACTTGCTAACTCACCCTCTTCCCTTTAGTGCAGACTGCATAACCAATAACGTTTGCCCCATTGGATGTGCCTGTGGGAGAGAGGATGGGAGGCGTCCAGTGGACCTGTAGGAACCCTGGAGCCTGCCCACAGAGCACCTGAACATCCTGGGGAGGCAGAGGAGGGCCTGGGAGGTGAGAGAACACATGTAAGAAAAAAATGCAATCATTAAACACTGCAATATCCTGAGCACACAAACAAGAGGAAATGCACTAATGGATACACACACACACACAACAACCATGCACAAAAATGCTCATATATGAGAGGTGTGTGTGACGGGGGGTTCAGGAAACAAAAAACTGGGCTCACTTATAAGCTCCCCTGCATATCTATATTTGTGATAGAATTAGATTAATTCCATATTTATATTTTTAGAGATACATGGGCCATGTGGATATATGTGATAATGTGCTGTTTATAAAATGTAAGTATATGAAAAGTTATCGTGCTGCTGCGCTAACTGAATATACTCCATACCAAATGAACTGAGATATGAAATGAAATCCTCTTCATGTATTAGCATTTATTTGTATTCCTCTGGTTTAGTAGTATATCATAACCTTAAATTGCTCTTGAGGATTAACAAAAAACCTAAAGTAAACTTTTTTAAAAAAGTGGTTTTCTGAACCTCAGCATACATCACCATCTACAGCTCATTCTTTGTCTTTCACTCTCCTGGATCACTTGGATAAAACATGCACAAATGCATTCAAGCAGAAGCAAATGCACGCTGACACCAAATGGTCATTTAAGTTAGCAGTGGAACAGTATTGCTTGATTCCAGCCTAGACTATAGGCTGAAGAAGACTCATGTAAATAATAACTGATCATATTTGTGATGCTTAGCTTTCATCTAATTAATGTGGTCTGTGCGGTGAACAAACCTGGGCAAAACCGCATTTGAATGTAGTTTCAAAAAACAAAATGGGTTTACGTTACAAGAAATGCAGTACATGAATGACAGCATTGTGAATGAAAAATGGTTTTCAATCTCAGAACCAAAACAAATTGCCAATTTGCCCACATCCCTTAAATAACTGTTAATTTGGAGCAACATGTCATAATCATTCCCAGGTTTGTGAGTATAACCCTGTTCCAAATGTATCGTAGCACTAATGTCATCTCTTCCCATTGGATTTTAGTAGAATCAGATCATTTAGTGCTAAGATATCTCGGAGACCCAGCCCAGGACTGATGTTTCATTCTGACCTGTTCTGCAATATGGTGTTGGACCTAGACAAAATACAATCCACAACAATGGCATGGTAAGAAAATGTGGTACTATCCTCTTCTACAGCACAGTATAGTAACCTAAAAAATGATATGTCATTATGTTACATATTAAAACCGGCATTACACTCCACCTGTCCTTCACACACACTACAATTTTAAAACATGTACAAAGCTAGTATCAAAATTATTGACACTTGTATGCTAGGGAGCTATGCATACTATATCTCTATGTACAGAATTGTGCCTCACTGACCTGCAGTCTGAGTGCAGAACTCCACACCAGCTTCTTTCCTCTCTCTCTGCTCCAGTGGCAGTTGCCATGGCACCTGGTGCGGCTGTGCTACCACTGTCACTTTGTAAACCGTCAGGGGCTTCAGGTTGACAAAGCGCAGTCTATACTTTCCTGGCCTTACCACCGCGTGTTCAACCCCATCCAAGAACACAGTGTGACCATAGTTACTGTTGCTAGGCAACCAGGAGAGCTCCGCAGTGTCACGCTGGATGTCATCCACTCGCAGGCCACAAGGTGCCACCACCACGTTGGCTCCCACCAGCAAGGTGCAGCGCAACTCATCTGACAAACCCCGGTCAGTGACGCTCTGCACAGACACACGATGAACGCAACCATCCATGTCCAGCTTCTCTAGCAAACACTTGGTCCGGCCACCATATGGTATACTGGCACGAAGTTCACCATCAACTAACACGTTGTAGCCAGAGATGTTCCCCCAGCCCAAAGGCACAAATGGAGGCTCCCAGGCCACAATGACGCTCCGTGCCAACTGCTTGATCAAGGTGATCTTTCGGGGATAAGGCACAACATCTTCAGCCAGGTCCTCAGGGTCCAGGGGCCCTCCTGTCCCATTGCTACAGGGAACCAAGGCGTTAGCTGATCCCAGAAGGCTATCTTGGGAAGCACCTCCATCCACTGCCACCAAGGCCAGGGGTGTATGATCCAGGGGGCCCAGGTCTTCTCCCTCCTCCCCAGCCACTGGTTTTTCCTTGTCCTGGACAAACTCGACAAAGTTGGAAGGGACAAGTCCTCGCTGGCCATCCAGCAGTTCCCCTGTGATGCACAAAGAATTAGAGAGGCAGAAAAGAAACCACTCAAATTAGTGCCTCCTTTTTCATGTTGATGGACAAAAAGCCTAATGTCAACTACCTGAAAATAGTACCCTTAAAAAACTGTCTCTACAGGTGGAAGAATCCCTCTATGATGCCTCCTGCAAATGTTAAAACTAGGCTTCATTAATGGCCCTTTACAAAACAGAAAAAAGGAAAGCGGTAAGATAAATACACAAGCATCAGTGATAGCTATTTTTCTTGTGAGTTAGGAATGAGTCAGAGAGTGAGAGGTAGGAGATATGTAAGCATACAGTATGTACTATTCCCTAAGATGTAAGATTTACCACTGGTTCTGTGATTCTATCTTTTATACTCTCTCCAGTAAACACAGACCTGAAAAAACATTCCTTTTTTACATCTCAAAAAACTGCCTTTGAACATTTCTAGGAACCCCCCCCCCTGAGCATATAGATGCTGTGGTCACTGAAGTTAAACAGCATAGATCCATCCTGTATTTTTCCCAATGGAAAGACATTTGTCTTTAAAAAGCTCCCTGTCATCTTGTCCTTCAGTCCCTTTTTCCACAAAGGTCTGGGAGGCTTTCAAACCATCTGTGAGCATCTGTACAGTATATGTGTATGTGAGTGAGCGTGTTTGCTGTTTGTGTGTGCTGATGATTAAGATGAGCCCTGCCTGGATTAGTCATCAAACTAAAAGGGACCAAGGCCCCATCTTGACAACAGCTTGGCCCAAAGCCTGAGTCTTCCATCCTGCTTGGTAAACACAAAGCTCCTCACAATGCCATGCAATCTCACCACCCACAACTAACGAATCACTGCAGCCGAGTACTACTGTGTCTGTGGCAGCAGGATTGCTAGCTAGTGAGACTAGGATTTCCTTTGAAGGAGAAGCCTTGAAAATTCTTAAGAGATTATACATGAAAATCACTCCAATCACCAGTTATAAATGGTATGCAATTTTTCTCTTGGTGACACTGGAGTGTTCCTCCACATTAGTGTAAAGTCTGAAATACATGTGTGGTAAACAAAGTAATGCAACCACCTAGAGTAGTGCAAGACTAACTTTAATGTAAAAATCAGTTAAAAATACCGACAAAGGCGTGTTGTAACAGGCTGCCAATGATGGATGATTGTGTTAGCTATAAAATAGGTTGACAACTTAAATACGAGAGCTTTCAAAAAAGAAAATAATAAGAGGTTAAAACAAGGGCGCCATCATCTGTGCACAAAATGAAGGTGCCTCATTTTAAAAAAAAGTAATATCATGACAACATAACCAAAACACAAACACACTGAACTGAGAGAGAGAAGGTCACAGGAAAATGAGTGATATGATGGACATTTACAGTATGAGGCCAAGATGACAAACGGTTACACAACCTTTAAAGAGCCGCCTTCGTAGCAGTGTTTACAGTGATGACTGCATCAGCATTCAAGTCCTTTTATACAGCATCACGTTTTGATGTTGTACTGTCATGTCTTGGGCAAACAGTACAAAGTCAACAAAATTTTCTGTACAGCAATACATACTGTACCTACACAACAGTCAGTGCTCTACAAACTTTGTCATTTTAAAATGATTTAGAGGCCAAACATAATATTAGAGGGGGAACAGATTCACTAGGGGATTAAAGTGAACTGACACATACTTCCTGGCATTTTGTCTCACTGTGACATAATTAATGCAGGATGACGCACACACTTGTTGTGACAGCCAAGCATTCCTTGCTACAGCAGCTGACAGGGAATCAGACACAATCACAGAACTTGAAAAGTACTTCAATATTTGATTTTTAGACTGCAATATTTTAGTGTATTTTATATACCTGCTTCAGACTAACATGCCGGTTAATGCTGATAGTTCCCAGTTCATCTCCACCTTAAGAACAACTTCAAACACAGCACTTGTGTTGTCTTGTTTTCCTTCTCACCTTCATAGAATCCGTCATCATCCATGTTTCCATGCACATACAGGTACTTCCCAGCCACAAGGGGGAGTTCCGCTTCAGGATGCTCATTTGGTCCATCATAAGGGTTATAACTGAAAGGAGAAATGATAATAGCTTTTGGTTTTTAGTTTTCATGGCAGCAGTAGGATCTTTAAGTTTTATTACAAATGAAAGAAGAAGCTGTTAATATGTTAGTCCAAGTTTATCCTACCTTGTGGACTGATATTAACGTTGCCATTTTACTGAATCAATATTAACAATACCCTTCCACCACCCTATCTAAATTAAAGCTGATGCAATCAGACTTCTGAGGATGGTCTCATTACCTGTAACGGGCAGTGCAAAGGCGGACCTGGCCTGTGTAGCGAGGCTTGGACCTGGGTGATGAGATGGTCTCATCCTCCATCTACAGATTAACAAGAAAACCAAAGATAAATGTTATTCACATGTACAACTCATAAACAATATCCAAGTGTAAGTAAGGTGGTCTATCACACCATTTTAACCATTAAGTCTGAAGATTTGATTATGTGAGACAGCCTAATGTGCATTAACGTGATGAGATTTAGTGACCGGGTGTCACTCAGACCCACCTCCAACTGGGTCAGCCGTCGAAGGCTGCTGGGTTGGTCCGTTGTTACGGTGCTGGGTATGACAGACAGCAGTTCTCCTGCCTGTCGTTCTCCGTCTCCAGTCTGCGCTGTGCAGGGTAAGAACTGGGAGATCAGTGGCGACGTGTTTGCTGTGCTTTCATTGCCTAGGAGAGATTGATTTCCATAGCAAATAAAGAGCAATTGTTATTCCTTCTGTGCCCTTTGTTGCTTGTTGCACAGTTATTGATCTCCCACTGAAGTGAGTGTACACCATACACTCTTCATGGCAAAAGCCATTCTATCTTCATTAATACCTCACATCTGCAAAGAATTTGTCATTCAATACCTGTATCACTGAGGTCCTGATTGAGAGGGCATTTAAAAAATGCAGGAAATACAAAATAGATAACCGCAGTGTAACAATAACCGAATTCCTCGAGGAAATGAAAATAAGTGAACAACATGGATCCACTGCATCACTGGGTTCTTGTGGTTTGTGAATGAGTAATATGATGCATTAGCACAAAAGCATCGAGTCCCCCTTCTGTTTCAAGTGAAGAGAAAGATGAAACAGGATTTCCAGCAATTCAAAGACCTGTGGTCTGTGCCAGACTGTATAAATCTACATCATTAATATGGCTGTATCTGCTTGCTCTGCAGCTTGCACTGTGTCTTTAGAATACTATGTGCTAAACTGCATTCATGCCATACATAAGGCCTGTGATCGGTTATTGATCATGAATAAGGAATAATACCATAAGTGGTCAGGAGTGAGTTAAACCAGCTGTTGTGAGCCATCTGGGGATCAGATCACTCTGACTCATTTCATTCTGATCATGAGCCTTTTGATCACATGTAATTTGGTGGATGCTTTTATCTAGAGTGCATACATTTTTAGAATGGGAGGCCCCACTGGTAGTAAACATTTAACCTTGTCTTAGTACTATTTTCTTTTTCTATTAAAACACAGAATCATCCTCACCACTGAATAAAGACATAATATCACCATTAACCATAAATACTACTACAACCACTACGGCTAAAGAAAATTATAATGCATTATAGGTGTAAAAAATTAACACTTTGTTAAACTGCTCAAAAACAAAGTTTGGTTCTATGGTCTGATTACTGACCCACCTGTCTCTGAAAGGGCTCTGAATCCAGAGATGACTTGTAGGAGTTTCCTGTCTGGTGAGAGGGAGATCTGGGTTGTGGAGGTGGGTTTAATTTTACAGATGTCCACAGTATCTGACTGCAAATGGAAATTCAGCAGCTCTTTGGACAGCTGGTGAAAGTGTTCACTCTGTGACCTGCATTTGTGCTCCAGGCCACAACTCTTGACCTTTGATACACAATATAAAGAGCAGATGGAGGTGGGAATGGTCATGAAGAGGCAGTGGAGGAAAAAAAAACAAGAGATAGCAGAAGATAAGAAGTGAAATATGAGGGAAGATTCACTCTAACTCACAAAAGCATGGGCTGTACTTTATATATCTAACAGTACAGATAGTCATCTGAAGAATAATCAGTGTTATCTGTTGATGCTGACTGAACATGGAACCAATTACACAGCCATCTTTAAGTTTAAAGCACAATGTTTCTTTGAACCCACTGCCATCTAATCAAAGTACATGGATGTGTAGAGTCAACTGCACTGCTATTGATGCTAATCAGGGAGGAAAATATATACCTGAAACATTCTGTCTTTTTTCTTCTGTCCAGACAAAAAGTAGGGACACAGAAAAAAGTAAAGAAAGAAGTAAAATGAAAAGAATAAAAAACCTACTGAATATAAAAGCAAACAAGCTTTTTTTAACTAATGAAGAGGAAAGGTAATGTAAACCAACAATATATTTATCAATGCAGAAAAAATATACAAAAGAAACAATACAGCAAAAACAACTAAAAACAAAAGACTTAACAACCAAAAAGGAAAAAAGATTAATGACTGTGGTTTCACAGAAAAGAGGTTGGTTTGTTTATTCTAGTTCAAATGTGTGGTTGCTAATTAGTGTACAAAAACAGGCCTGTGAAAGACTATAAATTATCTAAATGGATTTGTAAGGAGAACCAACCGACAGTGGAGTTAGTTTCTCTGACCAAATTTCTGATGTTTGTCTGAGCTTGCTCAGTAAAATCATATTAGTGCTGTTGCCTCAGATGGATAATAACACAACCTCACTTGAACTACATCAATATAGCCTACATTTTCTTGTCATGACAAAAAAGGTTTTAGAATGAAATGAGAAAAGTAATTTTAAGTGGATGAGCCAAAAACTTAAAGACAGTGATGAAACACAGCAGGTCAATGATTAAAGCATAGGAACATTTTTAAAAGAATTCAAGGTCAGCTTGGGCAGTGGATTAATGGGATGTGTGAGTCTGCAGCTGTGATAAAGTTGGGAGTAATAGTTTACACCACAACAGCAGTAGGAAGCATGACAGAAGCCATGAGGCAGCAGTTAAAGTTTCTGACATTGTTCCTAACAAGTCCTGCTAACAATGTCCATCTGTTTGTCCAGTTTAACCAAGACAGTTTCTTTCTTGCACAACATTAAATGATGTACACACTCACCATCCACACCCATGTTCCACTTCACAATAAATGAGACTAGTTCACTCTTGATAATGCTCAAAGATTTAGACGTGGCTTTTGCAGCCGTGTTCTAACTTATGCCTTGTCACACATTTATGTAGATCTACACAGAGCTCACTGGACGTCATGGGTTGGTTTTCATTCTGATATACAAACCTGTGGGACCTTAAATAAACAGATGCACGGCTGTCTAAACATGCCCAATAAATTCAATTTACCACAGCTGGACTCCAGTCTAGTCCTAGACACAGCTCAAGGATAATTACAGCAAACAGGATACACCTGGCCACAGTCTGGAGTGTCGCAGCAAATAGCCAGAATGCTTTTGAAAATGACAGATATCAGTTGTTGATTTGTGATTTAACATCTATCCAATACTACATGAAACATCCTGAGGATTTTTTGCTTTATTTTATTAGCTTAAAACAGACAGGCAATCTATATTTAACACAGGTCAGACTGAGGAAAAGCTGGATACAGATGTTTGTTTGTTCATGTCACAGTACCTCTAACAGGCGTATTGCTTCCTCATGCTCCTGGTCAGTTTGAACCCGAGCCTGCAGAGAACACACAGAAACACAGCGTGACAGCTGACACTGTGATCACAGTCCATGAGGCAGCATAGACAGCACACAGCTGATGTACTGTCAACACAATTCCCACACAGAGTCTCACTGGCTGATCGCAGCACTGGTACTTAAAGTGATGCCTATTCATGATGGCACAGCTCTGATGAACACTCACTGATTTATTTTGGAGAATATTGGTGTTTAAATAGTGGCTGTTAAATGAAACAAAAGCACAGTTTTAACATTAAAAACCTCCGTGTAGTTGTATAAATCACTTAGGCTCTGGTTGGACATAATTTGGACTGTTTTTCTATTACAAAGGTCACGCCATGTTGAATGTTGGGACGGGGGCGGCATTTTCAGAGGTACGCACTGTATTTTCTTGTATCTGTTCTTGTTTTGGCTAAAAAGTTGTTTAAATCCTTTAGATCTCACTTTACTGTCTGTGGTAATTCAGCATGGATAACCTCAGCTGAATGTAGCTAACTCATAGTGGACCTAGACAAGAGTGACATACTAAAATAAATGACTCTGCACCCTGATCTCAGCTCTCGGTTCATGAACTGACGCCAGCTAGCAGCTGTCGGCACGTAACACAAAGGCTGCAGATGAACCAATTTCTGTCCTGTTTGGGTTTGAAAGCAGGCGGCACTGTACTCTCTCAAGTCTGAGCTCTTCTGGCACTTAAGGTGAGTATGTGTATTTAAGACATGATACAGTAAAAATATATACACTTGTAATTTTAAATAACCAGCACTCAGTAATTTGAGCAACCAAGCCTCAGCCAGACTTGATAAAAAGTAAGATATATAATTTAATGTCTTCAATATTTGGAGTATCAAAAGAACTCATAATACAAGTCCAGGTGTTTCTTGTGATATTTGAAATTCTATTTGACTACTTTCTCAGCAGAGGGAGAACATCTGACACCAAAAAAGTTATGTCAGCACACTGACAGATGTTCCCAAGGTGTGTGAATCTATTAAAGACTACCAAGGCAACATTTTCAGCAGAGAGCTCATACCATCAGTATGAAAAGTGTTGCAGCTAAACTGCATTCCTAAAAATATCTGCAAAATTTAAGAATGGTTTCCGGAATCACTATATTTTCTGATACAGTGGTAGTGATTCAGTAATTTAGCAAAAACTAGCTTCTGACATCAATGAAACTAAGTGAGGAGCTCTGACATGAAGTCGCCGTTCTGACGGTTGTGTCAGACGTATAAACATTAAGCTGTCAATGACTCATTTGCTATTTCTGCCTTTTTCATATGGCCGTACCTTTTGCAGTTGATTGAGCCCCTTCTGCTTGGTGTGAAGGGCCACCAAGGCTTGCTCATGCTCTATTTGCAGCTGCTGCTTCAGCTTTACAGCCTCATGCATATGCTGGGGAAAACAGATAAGAAAGGCAGGGAGAGATGTGCAAAATACAGTTACTGAAGGATGTTATTTGGAGATGATTTCTTTCTTGATTGTGACAGATACAGTAGTTTGTTATCTAAATACTGCACTGAGAGAAGGATGTGCCCTGCAGTAGGCTGGCTCCCACACTGGCAAGGTGCCTTTGAGGAAATTGAACCCTACCTACCTGAATGCAATTAGCTTCAGGCAGTTCTACATATCCTGACATGATAAAAATGCACAGGTTGTGATATCAAAATTGTCAAAATAAGACCAAAAGCAATAGCCTGGTTAGATCAGCTGAATTAAAACAAACTAAAAACATTAAGTATTCACAGCAAAGCAATGAATGAGGGAAACTGTGATATTATGAAATGTTCACATTATTTTTGGAGCTTAAAAATTACATGAAACAAATTATGCTACTGTCATGTACAGTAAGTATAAAGAAGTTAACATTTTAAACAGGGAGCTAGTTGTGTCCCTGCTTTTCAGTCTCTGTGTTAACTGTCTGCAGGCTGCAGCCTCAAAATGGCTTACAAAGAGTGGTATCAATCATTTAATCTAACTCTCGGCAAGAAAGCAAAAACGTATTTCCCAAAACATCAGACTATTGGTTTAAATTTACATTTTACAGCATCAGGCTGCGTTCGCTGAAGCAAAGTAAGGATGAAGAGCATTAACCTATAGCCTACAGTATGAGCCTTTTATGTAATTTGTAATGCATATCCATCACATTCAGACTAGTATATACTGCAAACTAACTCAGATGCCACTGTCAGACAAGCTCACCCACACTGATGCCAAATCTACACTTTTCCAATAGACTATACAATATCTATCCATGAAGTTGCAACCAGTTGCCACATCTCACAGAAGCAGAGTTAAGGCCACGCATGTTTTTGCGAGCTTAAGAAGAAAAGACAGCTTAAAAAACTCTGACATTCATCATTTTCTCTCTATGGCCTCTCTCCCTTGGAAAACAAATTAAAGCCTCTTTACCTCCCAGAGTGGCTTTGAGGTTTCTTGAGGAGGCAGCCACTGCTCTGTAGAGATGGTTTAAGCTGCAGAGGACTGGGCTGGCTGAGGAGCTGTCACTGGAGTCTTAGTGAAAATGATTTTTCAAAGCGGGGGGGGTTAACATGTTAAAACAATAACAGACCTAAGACTTGGCACCAAAGCAGCTGCATGTCAAGTGTCTTGTTCACTTATTCAATTTCTAAGTCAGATGTTTTCAGTCTGTCACCGCATTCAAACCAACAACCTTCCTTTTACAAGCCTCCTGCTCTGGCACTTACTGCCAAACTTTCTTATCACACAAGACTCAAAGAAAGTTGAGATGCAACACAAAGTGGTGAAAAAGGAAGGTATTTGTCATACACAACACTGTAAAGACACACCTGAAGCTTACTGCCTAGCAAAGCTGGAGACTTAACTTCTGGTTACACATTACGGATAAAAATACATTTTTGTGATTTACTTCTGTTGAAACTTAAACATACTATTCTATGTGAAACAATAGATATTAATGGCTTGTTATTGTAGTGTTTTCCTGCCTCCACGTTACATGGATTGCCCTCTTCACTGACAAGTGAAACAGACCGCTTTATTCAAAGGCCACTATGATTGTTTTGTGTGTTGCCCTTTATAACTTCTGCTATGAAAGAAAAGCTCAGAATAAGATGTCTGACTAGTGTCGTAATTCCCCAACAACATTATAATAATCCTTTTTTTACCAGATTATATAACTTTAAAACTAACACTGACTCCTAAAAAAAATCATCTTTTTCTGTTTTTTTCATTTTGTCCTTCCTCCACCCACATCACCCCTTTTCATCTTCTCCAAATACCATGTCTTCATAATCAATACAAAATGTGAATGTCACAAACTTTTCTTTGCTGCATTAGGGAGCAGGTCAGTTTTTCTCTCTCAAATATTCTGACAAACAGACAATCAATAGCAGAGGAGAGGAGCTGAGGGTATGTAATGAGAGTGCTTCTCACAGTGCAGTGAGATTGTGTCTGATTACTATTGGTTGACCACAACACTTTGAAAAAGAGACTCTCCACGAAACCAATAACACCTCACTTCATACACTGTATCACTTTCCTTCTATACTTTCTTAGAAAACAAACACCTTGTAGATGGGAATATTTCCAAGAGAGGCGGTGGAAATCTGGTCCAAATTTGATGGATGGTGCAAAGCCACATGAACCACTGAAGTCAACAGCAAATTAATGGAGAAATTGGACAAATGCAGTGAGCTGAACGGTATGTAAATGAAAAAGTGGACAGACAGAGTTAGTGGTCACATACAGAATTGTATTTCTCAGAGGAAAGATCTGGGTGAAATTATCCTAGATGCATCAATTCCTGAATTAATCCATAATCTAGTAAACTGCTGAAGGAATCTAAATCTCACTTCTGTGGAAACTGTGGGTAGAGAATGAAAATGTATGCATTGAGAGACAGATATAAAAATGGCAAATCGTTTAACCCAACCATCATGAAATAACAAAAACTTTTCTTCAGGTATGTTATTTGCTAAAACTCTGCATTGAAACACTTACTGACATGATTTCTGAGTTCTCTGTCAACACTCCAAATTGCTTTTTGACATTAAGTTATCTGCAGCTGGCCATGTGATCTTTTTTTTATTTTTACTCCAGTCTTTGCCAGATAATAATATCTACCACAGCACTGTGATTCAGGAGAAAGACTGAAAGTTGACATTTAGTGAGAGATCACAAAACAGGATTTTCCTAAATTTACATAAAGTTATTAAAGGATTGAGGAAGAAGACAGTGAAGAGATGAATGAAATTAAATTGAAATTGAATTAAAGTTTGTTCCAGGTTCTTATCTTCCCCTCTATATTAAAAGGATAATATAAGTGATATTTCTTTTTAAGGGTACATGGGATAAAAAATGCAAAAATGGAGGGATGCCTCACCTTCAGAACCTGTTCCAGGTTCTCCACTTTATCCTGGAGTTGGCTCCTCTGCTGCTGGGCCACGTCTCTCTCCTGGTTCACTACAGCAAAGGTCTGTCTCAGCTGTTCATAGTCTGATTGCACCTAGGTCCAGGTACAAGGGAGGAAGGGATAAGTCAAAGAAAAGAGCAAGGGGAGGTTAAAAGGACTGATAACAAAATGGACATAAAAGACAGTTAGAGACGTTAAAGACGTTAAAGTCAGTGCACATGCACACACACACGGTATTTACATTAACATCTGTACTTATTATTTGGGTCTCATTTATTTTTGAGGGCAATTTTAAAAGTGAGTGAGCAGGAGCTTATGAAACCAACCTTTTCCCAAATAAGCTCATGAGCAAAGGTTAAACACTGATAACTTTAATGCTGGTGCCTCAGTAGAATTCACAATTATAATTTAAAATTAGAGCCTTGCCTGAAACACTGAAGAAGCACGAGTTCCCTCATCTGTCTGTAATCTCACTTGAGCTCGTGGCTGGTGGTGGTGGTGGTGGTGTTGTTGTTGTTGGTGGTGGTGTTGTTGTAATTAAGCATGTGTTAATGCAAAATCAGAAGTTTGCTGTTGTACTTGATGTAGGAGGAACCAGGGCTTGATCATTTTACATAAGGACTGCAGTTCATCATTATTTTCATTATGAATGAGTCTGATAATTATTTGATCAATTGATTAATTCATTATTTGGTTTCTAAACATTTAGACAATGAAAAATTACAAAATGAAACTTTCACTTGTGCTTGTTTAAATTAACCAATAGCTGAAATGTGTTATAATAAATACAATTAAAACCTTAAATTTAGTAAAACAAAATGCAACAACTCTCCATAGCTGGAACTATGAAATCTTTTGTATTTTTGAAAGGAAAAGGACAATTGATGAAAATTTTTTTTTTTTTGCCAGTTGACACTTTATTTTGTTTGAAGTTTGTTCTGTAGCAAAGCTTTATCTTTTAGTAAGATATACATATATTTTTGTGCCAAATGTTTAATCAATAAAGTAGCTAAAGCTGTAAAATAATTAATTTTTTTTAAAAACATCCTATAACACTGCATCACTTTTTACATAATGACTGCACGCTGTCTATGCAGAATTTTAGACTGAAAAATAACCAGTTATCAGCTTCTCCAAATAGTAGTGGTGTAAAATGAAGTACAAATGGCCTTAAAGGTTAATAAATGGACATTTTTACTTAAAAATGGTATTCAAACAAATATACTGAGCACCCGTCCGTGACCAAGAAGAAGAAGAGGAAGACCAGGAGAAGATGCTAAAGGAATTTTCTGATGCAGTAACCTCAAAAGCCAAACTCAGGTCATTGCTTTCCTACAGCTGCAGTCCTGCCTCCACAACCTGTTAACAGGTTCCTGTGAAGGCCACATCCTTCTGGTGTCAAGCCCCATCACTACCTGACCAGCTAAAATTAGGCCCAAGGCCATTGTAAAACCTGGGAACGGCAATGACAAGGTTACTTTGATCAGATTCCTGAAAATCAATGTGCCTACTTTGCTGACCCTAAAGTACAACTTGGCAAGTATCTAAAGCCACCGACCAGTTTTTTGCTCAAACAAGAGTGACAGAGGTGCTGTACCTCTGATAGAGGTGGAGTGAGGTGTCTCAGTGTACGACTTTTAACTCTATCTGTTGCAGCACTGACCAACAGGATCTTAATCCTCCAGTACACATAGCCCGGAGCTCAAAAATCCAAAGTACAAAGGAATAGGCCATTGAAAGTCTGAACTAGGGGCCAAAAGTCAAAAGTCAAATGGTAATCCATAAGGGGGTTTAGGCTTGGAGACACATTGTGGCCCCATCATCAGTGTAATGAGACTATAAGTAATGTGAATGTTCAGAAGTACAGCACTAAGTGTTTTAATGTCTACTAAGTATGAATGTGGGGTTTGTTGTGCTGTGTCTAGTTTAGGGAAACAGCAGTTTTTCTGGATGTAAAGAAGATGAGCTACAGTTAGAGGGCAGTAAACCTGACGTTAATGGTCGACTGACATTTTACATCTGATACACACACACACACGCATGCGCGTCAATATATTTACAAGCTCATTTAAGAACAACAAATATATATAAAAAAAGTTGCCAGTGATGGGGCAGCTCTGACACAGAGGGGTAATGTTTATTTAGTGTTTAAAAATTATCATCATCATAATCTTTTGTGAACTTGTTCGCTTCTCGGTCCTTCATAAATTACATGAATCCAAGTCGAACAAAGTTCTTTGTGTTTTTCAAGAGGTTGGAGACTGATCTGTTTTTACTGCAACTATAAAAGGTGATTTTTTTGATAGTGAAGATGTAGAGGTCAAGGTCAAAGTGTTTATTTATGTAACCTCAGAGGTGTTTCTAACGTTTAGTCTACCCTCACTGATATAACGCCTTCCAGCGTAACACAGTACCAGGCCCATTGCGTGTCTTGCTCATGCCTAAGACAAGATCTCCACCCAGCAGCCCCCCCAACACACACACACACACACACACAAAAGCACCTTAATATCTTCTTTGTTCTACTTGAAGCATTTCGGAATGTGCCCATTATTCAGAGTAAAACAAGCATGCAATTTTTATGAGGTTTGTTCCCGCAGTAGGCCTACATTTTACATTTAAGAATAAAGGCTGCTTTTTTGGCTGAAGGGTTGAATGGGAGTTCGCAGTCTGACGAGAAATTCATCAGCACACTTTCCATGTAGCCTTGATGAGATAAAGCTTGCTGACGTGAGCATTCTGCATCTCGTTTCTTCATCAGTCAGAGGCCTAGAGCTAAGCCGGTTCCTCTAAAAGTGACCTGATAGGACCGAGCCGACTCATCCCTTAGCTATACACCCATCTTCTCATTAATTAACAAAACAGATGAGTGCACAATAGATACACTCGCTTACTCAAAGTCCACAAAACTAGACTGCTGCAGAGGAAATGAGTTCTTTCATACAGAAGAATTTATGACTGGAGCCGGAAGCTTCAATATCTTCTGAACTATATTCCAATAATTATTCTTTTCAAGCAGACTAATAACAGCAGCAACACATTTTATTTGTAGACTGCTTTTCTAGATATTCAAAGAATCTTTATATTGATAAATGCTATGTTTATGAGGCTTAAAATATTAATTTTCTTTTGAAACTGTCACAAAAAAATCTTATATTAATTCTCTTGAATGCTCAAGATTCCCCAACAAAAGGGACACTTATTTTCTCTCATTGCCTTCTCTAATTATATCACCACTGCCTTGTTTCTCGTCTCTTAGTTTCACACTCGTACATTGTTTTTCTTTTTCCACTTTAATTCTCTCATTCTCTCTTTGCAAAGTCCAACTCATTTTGCCTGCGTCTTTGTCTTGACTGCCCTTACAAGCCAGTCACGCTCATTCACTTTTGCCCTGCTTTCTTTTTATCTCTGTGCCCACCTTGTCAGTGCACAGATGGCATCTTTTTGTGTGGCACGGTGGAGCAAAAGATCTGAGTCCCTGGACATGTGTCAAATCTGTTCCTTCTGTGAAAATCGCTATTAGCACCAGAGAAGCTAATGGCCTAGCATCACAGATGGTCACTGTCTCTTTGTGAATGTTTATGTATAGCAGATGTGGAGTGTGAGAATCAGACTGACACGGCGAGGAAAAAGGAAAAGGAGCAATGACATGTAGGTTTGTATGTGATACTTCTTTAATGGCATGCCAAACAACATGTCAGACGTTAGAGATTTAACCTAAACATTATTCTAAGCATAAAGAGGTAAAAGAAATATGAAAAGGCAACACATAACATATGATGATGATAACATCCAATGCCAATAGTACTGCATAATAAATACATTTTACTCTTGATCATTGACTAGTCAACAACTAATATTCATTGTGTGTTTGTCCTTGTGTGTGAATGACTTACCTGGTCATATTTGGATGCCTTCAGGTGGTGGCTGATCAACTCAAGGTCCAGATTATTTTTGTCCTGCAAAGCAGCAGAGAGCTTTGCTCTCTGAAGAAGAGGAGAGAGAAACAAAAGACAGTTTGGTGTGTTGTTAGATTGTGATAAGTTATCCTTCTCATTGCAAACACCTTTATGCCTAACTGCATCATGTATGCCAACCACATAATGTAACTCAATCTTAAAATTATTATACGTGACAGACGAAAGACAAGTTTGTGCCATTCCCTGGCTTTGTCTGTATGTGTGTGAGTGAGTGAGTGAGTGAGTGAGTGAGACTAAGATTTTTTTTAAGATGCTGTCTTGAGGACAAAACAAACAGCTGCACACTGTCACCCTCCATTTGGTATGTGGCACCAGGAATAGAGCAAGAGAGCTGGAAAAGAGGGAGCACAGGAAAGAAAGGGATGAGGAGACAGTGATGGAGGAAAGTGGGAAGGAGGGATAGTGGTAGAATGAAACAAGCTGAGAGAAGGATGAAATAAAGAAGCACCAGTGGAATGCTAAATAAGCAAATGAGTGCATAAGCTCAGTAAAACCCAATGAGTTCAAGATTAGATTAAGTTGCACACCACATAACAGGACTGAAAAGAGGTGTGCACTTCCTGTCTGGACATTTCACTACCCAGATTCAGATGCTGTCATGCCATGGGTACTGCAGGTACTCAAGCATTACATAATTGTGTCAGACTCAAACTAGGGCAAAGCTCTCCCCCTATCACAGCTCTGAGCTTTCAAGAGTGATTTCACTGTGAATGGTCATATCTTGGCACATACTGTAATACCACTTTATGCTGATGCACTGAATTTATACTGCCAGCCTCTGACTATATGTTGATCAAGTCATTTGTAATAGCCTTTTCTTTCTTCAACTTTGTATTTGAACAAAGGCCAGTCTACAGTCAGTCACAGTTTTTATTTTCCTCATAAGTCTAGCAAGGATAAGATGGAGGCTGGGTTTTTGTTCCATGTCTCTTTGATCTTAAAATTTTGCCACCGATTACAAATAAGTAGATTTCAGTCAACTCTGAAAAAGTATGCACTTCAATTATGTTTAAAGTATGTGTAGATCTTAAAGACTGAAAGGTGAAAATATAGTCCTGATTGACTGCATCACAATCTGATTGGCAAAAGTCATCTTCTAGTTACAGTATGTGCAAAAGAAACAACTGTGCAGCTCAAAGGTTTAAGATCAAACGTATTAGGTCAAATCAAGGAACTCAATAAACCCTAGTCAATAGGAGGAGAGAGAAACAGGCAAAGTGAAGGGCCAGCAAGCTTCATCCATCTCTGTGTGCAGGCAGAAAGACAGACAGGACTGTTTGAGGATGACACAATCAAACCAAGACGCAGATAGAGAGCAGACAAGGACAGGAAGATAAAGCGACTGCTGAGTGAGTTCAGTTGCTGCTCTTATTGTGTAACACCGTCGTCACATCACATCACAGACTACAGAGCAGTCCATGGACTAAGCCACACCTAGTTACAATAGCAGCCACAAATACGGCTGCCTTTGACTGTTAATTATGAAGAGCTGGCACATCATGAGGTGTCATCTGCAGCAGCTCTCCGTACTGACACCCCAGTACACAAGCTTATAGTTTACATCCTACAGAATCAAGGTGAGGGCCAGTTGCAGTTTGGTCGAGACTGACCATAGCATGATAACAAAAAAAGAAACAAAAAAAGAAACACATACAAAACAATGACCTTTCAAAGGATTCTTTTTATAAGCCTCAGGAATAATGTCTGCTCCACTTCCTCCCACTCCCAGTGAATCACACATTCACAGCTCTGCTTAACACTCCACAACATCTTGTAAACACAGTGCTATACTGCAAAGCCGAGGGACAAGCACACATATTTCTGTGCCAATTAAAGCCTTCGACATGAACAAATAAACAGAGAAATTACATTTGAAGCTATCAAGGATATGATAATTAGGGCTTCTCTTAAAAAAACTTAACAGGGAATTAACAGCACTTCCCAAAGACATCTGTGCAGAACTATGTTTGAGTGAAAATGTGCCATGAGTGTGTGTATGTGTGAAACTGTGCGTGGTTGTGAAATCTGAGATACATGAAGGCAGAGTAAATAGGCGAGGAAACCCTCAGCACCACTAATACCTAATTCTATCTGACAACTTCTTTCTTCCCTCCTCTTCTGTCTTTTTCTCCATTTATCATTATCTCCCCCACAACCACATGCACTTTCCCTTCCATCACCACCATGACTATACAACTGCAAAGCAGTAATTCTAGTTATAATATGGCTTTTGTATAAATTAAATCAACCAACCAAGAAGTCTTGATAGGCTGATTTAGTTACTTTGGGGCAGCCCAGCTGTTTTTCCCATGCTTCCAGTTTCTAATGCTACAATAAACGAACTATTGTCTGGGCATCTGATCAAATCACAGCCGTCATTATGCACATGCTGTAAATGTCTCTGTTCTTTATAGATGAGCTTTGGTGTCAATGTATAATTCTTTGAAACCATATGTTGTGGTAGTTTAAAGCATTATAACAGCTTGATGCCTCATTACATTGTTTGTACTGTATGTACTATGCATCTTCTCGCTGTGTCTTAAAACAGTGAATGTTTTTGTTTTAATCATCTGTGCACTTTAGGAAGGTTTACTTCAAAAAAGCAGTGTGACAGAAAGAGCCTCTGTTCTCCATAATGATGCAAACTACAACGTTACAGCTAGTTGAGTGTATATTATAATAGTATTGTGATCAGGCCTTGTCAAAACATGAGCAAGAAGTTTCTCTGATTTAGCCAGCAACATGGTAGTATATAAAAATGTTTGTGTGGTTCCAGCTGTTTACCCACTGGGGTGTGATTACCGGATGACAAGGAGTTGCACCTGCTTGAAAGTAAATGGGAAAAAAAATTGTATGTACTGAGATTCATGTATTGATACTGATCCAAACGGGATAAATTACAAATGAGAAGAGTCTCAAATTTTAATTTAAATTTACCTCTATAATCACAGTTTGTTTTTGTCAGTAAAGGCTTTAAATCCTGAACATGCTGGATTTTACTGCTTGGTGCTTCAAATTTATTTAAGGACATGTTCTTCCAAACTGTGCATATGACGCATTAGTAAAACACTTATATTGTTTTTTTATGAAAATGTATTGTAATATGCAGAAGGTTCCTTTTCCAACCCAACAGACGAGTACATGGAGAGGAAGTTGGATTTTATTGGATCTTAATTTACAAATACACATTTTAAAATGTATAGCGATATATTATTTGAGTAAAGACAGCAGTAGCTGCTTCAAATATAATGGAGAATAGATGAAGAATGAACTCATGTGTGCATTTCTACAATAGCTACCGGTGACATTAAATGGATTTGCTGTGGGCAGAGGATTGCTACTGTTCCCCCTCAACTCCCAGGGGGACTGTCGTTAATCAGATGTCACAGTGGAAACACTTTGTTCTACTTAACTGGGGGAGGAAAGAAGCTGACAACATCTGCCGTCTTCAGTGTGAGCACCAGTAAAGTCTCAGACAGAGATGGACCATGTTTCCATTAATTAATGGCAAAAAAGGGTTATAGACTTGATACAGAAACAAATCAGTTCTGTACCATGTTGAATTTTGTTGCATTTGGTCATCATAATCTGTTTTCTCAACAGTAACTTCATGCGAAAGTTAACTTTCAGTAGTTCATGATGAAAGTTTACAAGAGATTAGACAAATGGAGTAATGTAGATCCAAGTAGAGCCCTAACTTGTAACAAAAAGTACAAAGATATGCATGCAGGTGCAACTAGTCCACCAACTGATACAACTTTTCCCTCTCATACAACCCATAGGAGCATCTCCTTTGTCCATTCCCTGTGTGTGTTAATGGCTTGCCCAGCCAGTATATATGTTCCCTCATTTGTGCCATTTGGTTTTTGTTTGAAGTACTGTGTAGTTTAGTTTGCTGTATTTTGAGTTTCCTTATCTTTTGTTGACCTCTTTTAGGGACCCAGTTTATTTGATATTGATGTTGTTTGTACTTTTTCTTTATTTTTGGGTGAATAAAAAAACCCTTTTTTTTTTTTTTACTTAAAAGCTGTGTCCTCTGCCTTACTGTTCAGTCCCTGACAGCATGACTCAAGAGACCAGTTAAATCTGAACTTTTATTATAGCGATTTTCAGAAAGTGCAAAGCAAGTCTGTGGACAGAGTAGTGCATGAAGGTGTTGCAGTGATCAGGTTTCTCCAACAGAGGGTGCTCCAAAAAGCTGTCTGTCCTAGAGATGGATGGTGAGTGTGAACCACTTGCAACAAGGAAAAAACTGTGGCAATATGTCTCAAATACTCAAACGTAGACTTGCTGGTTTTGCAGGTGAATGGTGCAAGAGACAAAACACAGGGGCGGAGCGGTGGGTAAGATGGTGGCTTACAGAGAAGAGACCATTGAAGTAAGTTGACTGTAGGTAAGACAGCTTCACCATGTAGGTGGAGAATGGACTGAACAGATAAGCAGACGGGTGAGTTTGATGTGACAGTTCTTACAGGAACAAACAAATAACACTCAGGAGAGGATATGACAGGTAAGCTGGATGTACTACTCAGATCAAGTGACAACCCAGCACTGACTGATTGGGTGGAGCAAGTTAAATAGGCAGAGGTAGCAGGTGAAAGTAATCAGAACTCAGACAAAGATGAAAGCTGGGTCAAGAGAGTGAACCATCAACAGCAAAGGTAGCAGAGTTCTGTCATCATGGAATCTGTCATAAACATGCCGCTACAATTATGAGACTGCCATCATTTCATTACATTTAAGCATATAAAAACACTTCTCTTGGTTAGGTGAAAAACACACATTACACAACATCGCTCCCTTGGGGGAAAAGTCTCGTGTTTTATGTACCATGCCAACTTTGTCCTACAGCCGACTTTGTGACTCTATATAGTGTCACCTAACATCCTCCTTATCATAATTACTACCGTTGCTAAAGGCCACCAAACTATAATACATAACTTTTGATCATAATAACCTGGGTTTTTTCCATGCACTAAATGGGCTAAAACATAAAAAACAATATG